AATTCAGTGGCATCTAGCACTGTCAGTGTCATGCAACTACCATTTCTATCTAATTCTAAAACATTTAAGCCACCCTGAAAGGAAACCCTTTCACCCATGAAGCATTTACCTCCCATTCCCTTGTCCTCCCACCCCCAACCACAGCTATGCTTTTTGCCTTGACAGATTTTCCATTTATAGATATTTCTTACAAATGAAATCATATAATAGGAAACCTTTGTGTCTTAGATTTGGCATAATGTTTCTGAAGTTCATACTTTCCCTCCATCTTTATTTCATTATTTTTCTGGGATTCCTACTATATAGATATTAGAACTTCTGCTTCTATTCTGTATATCTCTTTTCTCTTTTTTCCTTTTTTATCTTGTCTTTTGGGAGATTCCTTAATTTGATTTTTCCAGTTTACTAATTCATTCTCAATTATAACCTTCCTGCTATTAGACCATTTATATCTTCTTTGTTCCAAATATCTAATGTGATATGAATATGGTCCTGTATTGCTTTGAAACTTCTCCTACCCAAAAATGAGACCAGTGCCTCCCCACTCCTTCTTCAATCTGGGCTTTGTGACTGCTTCTACTTCCTCATAGTCACTCTGCAATGAGGAAGCCTAGTAGCCCATGGGCTACTAGGGCAGGTCCATGGGCAGGTCCACATGCAGAGAACTCAGTGCCCCTGGTCCACACCCCTCTTAGCCTATAGCCAATAAGAATTTGCTAGTGACTCAGGCAGTGGAGGTGGTAGCGCTGAGACTTAACCCTAGGCCACCAGGGAGGCCCTGTTGTTTTCTTTTGAAATGTCTGTGCTTTGGGCCTCCCTAGTGGCACAAGGGGTTAAGTTGCAGCACTATGAAGCTATCCCAGCCACTGCAGCACAATTCTGATCCCCGGCCAGGGAGCTACCCACATGGGGCAGCAGACCTCTCCTGCCTTGCCCGCTGCTCCCCTCAGCAGTGTATTTCAGTTGATCCACCTGTTCTGCTCCCTACTCTGTCTCTGGTGAATCCTCTCACCCCCTACACCTCTGGCCTGTCCCCAAGTTATTGATGTATAAATAAATAAATCTTAAAAAAGAAATGTCTGGGGCCTCCCCGGTGGCGCAGCGGTTGAGCGCTGGGTTGCGAAGCTGCCCGCGGCCTCTGCGGCGCCGGTTCGATCCCCGGCTGCTTCCCGGCCACCGGAGGAGGGTCCCGCATGGCGCGCAGACCTCTCCTGCCGCCGGCTGCTCCCCTCAGCAGTGTACTTCGGTCCTTCTGCCTGCTCAGCTCCCCGCTCTGGCTCTGGTGAATTCTCTCACCCTCCCGCGCTTCTGACTGTACCCAGTGCATGTATAAACAAACAAACAAACAAAGAAAGAAAGAAAGAAAGAAAACATGCCTCTATAAAAAAAAAAAAAAAAAAAAAAAAAAAAAAGAAATGTCTGTGCTTCTCCAATGTCTTTTTCTTTTAGCCTATAGGGTTATTTTTTGTCCATGAGTTAACTGATCGTGTGGGCAACTCAGACACTGATATGGGGGTGAAATTGTATTCTGTGAAATTGTATTCTAATGATAAGGGTCCCCAAGGTCTGAAGTTGTCATGTTTGACTATAGTGGCCTATCTCTCCCATACAGCAACAGACCCCACCCCTGAGGAGAGAGGCCATGGGTGGGGGTCGGGTAGGAGTATGGGGCACCTTTATAGAGCATCAGGAAAGACTAAGGGGTGCAACTGTTCATTCTTTATTGAAAAAAACATGTTGGGGGCAGGTACTGAGGATACTAGGTGACAAGACTTAACAGTGAAGCCACAGCCTTTATGAAGCCTACAGTCCAGTGAGCTCAAAAAACATTAATGGAAGATCCCTGCCAACACATTTCTCCCCGCAGTGGATACTATGACGGGAAAGTGCCCGGGGGATCCCATCCAGGGCAGCAGGGGTGGGCCTCAGAGAAGTCCTGGGGGGGAAGAAGCTAAGTGAGACGTGCCCATGGGGAGGGATTTGGTAAGTGAGGGCAGACAGAGTGTAGAAAGCATTCTGTGAAATGTCCCGATGTGGTGCAGAAAATCCCCGAGTTTGGGGAAGTGAAAGAAGGGTTGAGGGGGGGTAGGAGAATGGCTGGGGGTGGGGGTGGGGGATGGGGCCAGGGCCTTGTGGGTCAGGAGAGGAGCTGGGGCTTTCTCTTCAGGAAACACGACTCTACCCTGAACCCCTGAACGGGGATTCATTCGGGTGCCGCTCCTGTGGGCGGCTGAGGGTGGCCCGAGCAGGGAGGGCCAGGCCTGGGGGAGCGGCCAGAAGGTGCTGGGGAGAAGGTCCTCCCGGGGCTGGTCACTCTGATTCCCACCCGGGGGCAGGAGGCCGGGGCAGGGGGCGGTCGGAGGGCACGAGGTCTGGGGGCCCCGGGAAGATACCCGGATCCTCCAACGGATCCCAAGGCTCTGAAGCCCTCTGAGCCCTAGAAGGGAGGGAAACGGGGACAGACCAGGAGAGCGGGCGCTGAGGTTTCCTGACTGAGAAGCAAACGGCTGGAAGGCGCCCCAGCGATGGTAAAGCAAAGCCCCCGGATCTTCTACCGGAGGCAGTGGGGTGGAAAGCCAAGGAAAAGTTGAGCGCCAGCGAGTAAACAACTAGGGCGAAGGCATCCCCGGGAGGTGCGGCAGCACAAGAGAAACTAAAAAACGAAGGAATCTGGCTAAAGAATGCAAGGTAGAGTCCCGAGGGGGCAGGCGGGGCCAGACGCCAGGCGCGTGTCCTTCCTGCCCGGAAGCCCGAGCCCCAGGCCCGGGAGGCTGGAAACCCTCGGCACCTCCCGCAGGAAGGTGGCAGCGAACCGACGGGAAGCACCGCAGGGGCCGGTTTCCAGCGCGCGGGAAAGTGGGAGGCAGAGATGATGGAGACGGGGAAGGGGCACCCGAGGAACGGTCGGAGGCCCAGGCAGGGATGGGACAGCGGCCGCGGACTGGGCCGGCCCGGCCGAGCCTTCTCCGGGAACGCCCAGGGCGCAGCCCCCGCGCCCCCCGCGCCCCACCCCACCGAGCCCTCAGAGAAGCTCCGGGAGGTGGCAGCGCACGTCCCCGGTTTACCAGGACCGCAACTGAGGCTCAGAGAGGGCGGCGCCGCACCCCAAGCCACACAGGGACCAGCCCTCCCCAGCGCCAGGGGCGGCGGTGGGACTCCCGCCTCGGGGGCTTCCCTCCGCCGGGCCCCCCCTCGGGGAGGAGCCGCCGCGAGCCCCTCCTGCTCCCCCGCCCCGGAGGGGCGGCCCGGGGGGCGGGCGGAGGAAGTGAGCGCAGCGGGGAGGAATGCGAGCAGGCGGGGCGCGCCGGGCCGGGGCGGCGGGGACAGCCGGGGCTGGCGGGCCGGGGCGGCGGGCGATGCCTCACTTCACCGTGGTGCCGGTGGACGGGCCGCGGCGCGGCGACTATGACAACCTCGAGGGGCTCAGCTGGGTGGACTACGGGGAGCGCGCCGAGCGGGAGGACGCGGACGGTGAGGGCGCGCCCGGAGGGGGGCTCCGGCGGGGGCAGGGTGGTCGCCACGCGGGACCCGCTCGCGCAGACACCGGCCCCGCGCGCTCACGTCGGGGCGGGCCAGCTTCGCTCGATCTGTGCGGCCGCCGCCGGGCCCCTGCTCCGCGCGCAGACACGACTCGCCCGGCCCCGGCGCCCGCGGTCGGCCGCCCTCGGCGCCCCAGCTCCTCCCTTGCGGGCCGCGGGCGGGGGCTGCAGACGTGGCCGCCGAAGAGGCCCGACGAGCGGAGCCGCCCCGCGTAAACAGCGCCCAGCCCCGAGCTCCAGCCTTTCCGGCTGCGAGCAAGTCGCAGCCCGGATGGCAGCCCCTTCGCCCGCCGAGCATCGCCCCGAGCCCTCTTCTCGCGTCGCCTCTGCGTGTGCGCGCTGCCCCTGACTCTACCCTCTCTCGCCTCGCCGCTCCCGCGCGCCTCCTCGTACTCCGGCGGGCAGGAGAGGCGGGCGTGCCTCCCGGAGGGGTCTGTGGGTAACCGACTGTGCGTGCGCTCGCGCTGATCCCAGCTCGGCTCTGTGCGTGCAGTGGGCATCTGTGGCGCACTCGCTTAAACACTGGCCAGGCTTGTCTAGGCGCTTGACGTGAACGAACTCGTTTAATCCTCCCCACTCCCCGCTAGGGATAGGTCCTGTTACGTCTAGGAAGGAGTGGAAGGTGCTGTTGCAGAGCTTGCCCCAGGGGAGCCAAATCTAGGGTGTGAGACTCCACCACCCTAGCTCTTAACTTAGGCCTCAGGGTTGCCCCAGAAGTAAGTCCCTCCTCCCTTCTCCCAGGTGCCTGCCTCTCTTCTTGCCCCTTTCTCCCGGCTCCTACCCCAGGAGGTCCGCAGGGGCTGCCTTGCTAGGGCCTGCTCTTGGGGTGTGCGCAGTGTGTAACTGTGCTTGTGCAAGTGTGTAGCTGTAGGTAACACAAGGTGTTGATGGAGTCAGGGTAGCTTATTCTCATAGCCACTGCTCCCTGAGGGGCCCCACATGCAAGAAACGTGTGTTGATGGCATGTGTCAGGTCATAAGATCTTGATCTGGGATGGTAACTTCTCTGAACTGAACCATGCCTCACGTGAGTGATGACTATATGTGTGTGTCACCCACTGTCCTGTACAGAGACGGCACAGAGCTGCTAGACATGGAGGTTTTACAGGCATGTGCATGTACATGGCCCCCAGACTCCACTCTTGGGGCCTTACCCGCCCCTAGCCTTGTTCCAGCAGGAGTCAGCATCCCTCTTCACCTGTCAGCCCTTGGAGGCTTTCCCCAGAAGCTGGGCTTGGCTGCATCCCTAGGATCAGCCTGGGCCAGTGGGCAGGCAGAGCTGACCGGAGACTCTGGCCCCACCTTGGCCTCTCACAGTGACTGGAGGGACCTGGAGCCACATTGGCTGAGTCCAGCTGGCTGGACCAGCTCCTCCCACCATCCCCCCTCCTCCCTTTTCCTCCTCTTCAGCCAGACCTTGGCTGTGGCTGCAGTATGGGGGACACTCTGCGCCCTGGTGAGTGATTATGATCCTTCTTGGTGGGGACTACAGAGGATCAGGGGTGACAAAAACAGTGAGCTTCATGACTATCTCCTGGGGTACCTCACCCTGGGATCTGAATCTCAGGTCTCTGAGGGCTGTAAATCAGTCTGCTCATACTACCTGTTCAGGGCTGAGAACAAGGGGTGGGGAGGTTCTAAGAGAGGCACCCCAAGCAGACAATGGTGAGCATGGGGTTCAGCTACATCCCCAGCTGCAGGTGGCATGTTTCCATGGCCGCCGGCAGCACCACATATATACATGTCCCTCACATACAGCCCCCCCAGGCCCAAGCTATACTTGGGGGCTACCAGGGGTCTCAGGTGGTATCTGAGCAACTTCAGCTTAGCAGGCAGGCCCGGACCTGCCCAGAAATTTTTGGAATAGCTGGAAGCAGTACAAACACACAGCTACTGCTTAGACACCCCTTCCTGCCCCCCACATTCCCATAGTTCTTTGGGAATTGCCCTTAAACGAGGCTTTGGGGAACACTAAAGAGTGCCTGGCACCAGATTGTCCCTTTCCAGTGCATTTGGGAATTTGGAAGAGAGGGTGTTCCTATCTCAACTTTATCGAAGAGGAAACCAAGGCAGCACAGAAAGGATAAGTAAGTTGTCCAGGGTCACACGGGGAAGGCCAGGGATCCAAGCCAGGCTGCCAGCCTTCTTTCTGAGCATCAAGAGCCAAACTGCAAACCCCATATAGTCTTCTGTAGTTTAAGGCTCGTGCTGCATCCCTGGGTGCATCCTGGGAGGGATTGGGACCCAGAGGACAAGTTGGGAACCTGTAGCTTAGCAACTATACCTGGCTCTGGTGTATCCTGAGACCCAGGTTTGCCCCTTCTCATCGGATGACCGTGCCTCTGAATCTTTACTTTCCGTGTTACTAAGTGGGTCTGTAGTATCTGCTGGAATGTTGCTGTGAGCAGTACCTGTGAGGCAACCGTTGGGAAGTCTCTGCCCTGGAGTTATGACTGAAGGGACAAAGGACTGGCTAGGTCTTGGAAGACCATCCAGAGGCATTTTGGGGCAACTGCTGTGTGCTTACCTTCATGATTTCTATATACTAGTGTGGTCTTCTCAGATAAGGCAATAATGATGGCGCAGGGTGCACTACATGAGTTTAGAATATTTATAACTTATTTCTGACCTACTTCCACAAAAGGATTGGAAGAGAGATGCAATAAAAGTGCCTCCACGTAGGATTGCTACTGTTAGAAATATCAGAACCATGTACAGAAAAGGGACAAGGACTCAGATGAGGCAGGTGGTAACTGCATATCAGGCGTTAATTTACCTTGGAGATTCCTGGAACTCAAGGCAGAAAGAAATAAGATATGCTCTATAGCCGCCATTTTCTGACAAAGCATCTGACTTACTCAGGGGAGACACTTTTTGGTCACAAAAATCCAAGAGTAATTTTTAGAGGTTTCTCACTGAAGGCTGTCTTTGCAACAGACAATGTTACTGGGTTATCAGATTTTTCTTGTAGCTCTTTATTCTGACCCTGAACAAGCATCAAGGCACAGCAGATGTCATCAAGTGTCAAGAAGGACATGCATCATGGATTTCATGAGGCTTTACCATTGCTGGATGGGCTAGTGACCCTTTTGGTGTAGCTCACTCTGTAAGCTACCTGGCCCACTAAGCTAGTCCAATTTACCAGATGAGGTGTTGTGGGGGGAAAAGGCTGACTTTGTCTTGGACTTGTCATCAGGACGCCTTACCTATCAGTCTTCTTCGGAAATAAAGACTCCATAGAACAGCACCTGCTCAGTGCTTGTTGGCTCAGAGAAGGCAAGATAAGTCTCATACGGTTGGCAAGACGTCAGATGGAGGAGGAAGCATCATTCAGCATTCTTTGCTGCAAAGCAAGGGAAATGAATTGTGGGCTATTTAAACAGAAACGGTTGGCAGGTAGCTCTCACAAAACCAGGCCTGGTGGGTACATAGCCAGAATACTCTGCTAGTCTGAGTAGGTGATGACACTAAGGTTACCACCTCCATTGTTGGACACCAGGCCAACACTGCTGCCACAGTCGCTGCCATCCAACACCACCTGGCTCCTCTGGACCAAAATGCCAGTTCCCAAGTTGCTGTGAAGCCCTAAGCCAGTGCCACAGTTGCCAGGTTGTCAGGAGGGGGGAAATCACTTAACTTCTAGGAAAGGAATACCTGGTGTCTCCTGCCTGCTTGATAGAAAGTGGAGAACGTCACCTACTGAGACTCATGACGGACAAAGTTCAGAGAACGGGGAAGAGTGTATATGCTGGGGGGCCAGGAAAAGTAGACAGGCTTTGGGGGTTGAGTCTGGCAAGTTTATAAGAAAAGAGGCATGTCGCTCCTTTCTGCAAGGTACTTTCGGAGCTGAGCGCCGTCCCACTAACCCGGACCAGGGGTCTGGACGGTCGGGGTGCAGGTGAAGGCTGGAGTGGGCCACATACCCGTACTGGAGCAAGTGTCCCCTGCCAGTAGACCCTGCTTGGTCCAACATTCCTGCCCCTGCGCTTCTGTAGGCTTCCCGCGCCACTTCCGCCTTCCCAGCATGCCCCAGGTTGTCCTCTCGGATGCCCCCGCGCGGTGCATGGTGGGGTCGCTAGCAGGCGGCCGGCCGGCCATGGCCGCAGAAGGCACCCTGTGTGGCTTCATCTATGTGGAGGGCAGCACCCGGGCAGGTCCTGAGGACACTGAGCCCTTGGCACCTGGCACTCTGGGTATTCCAGAAGGGCCCAGAGAGTGCGAGGGGCGTAAGGGGGGGCCAGGACTGACCACACCCCAACAGGCTCCGCCCCTCCTTGTTAACACGTGCCCTTCACGCCCATCCCTCTGCCAGAGAAAATGATGCTCCGTGGTTTGGTCCCTGGCCATTGACAATTTTGGACCTCCAAGGAGATTGCTCAGGGTGTGATGGGGAAACTGAGACCCAGTCTGGTAACATTGGGCCCCAAAGTGCTCCACGGATGTGTTTTCTGGGCTGGCCTCAGAAGGGCAGGGCCCCTTCTCAGGAGACAGCTGGTAACTGGGATTCTGTCCCTCTTTCTCCACAGGACATGGTAACCACAGAGAGAGCAGCCCTTTCCTGTGTTCCTTGGAGAGTTCCAGAGGAAGTGACTACTATGACAGGAACCTGGCACTGTTTGAGGTAGCTGAGGAGCCATTCTGGGCGGCAGGTGTGGCAGACAGGTGGGCGGGCAGGGGCCTGTCAGGACCCAAGTCTTAGTTAAGCAGCAGGCCGGACGGTTGGGTCTCCTTATGTCTCGACTCCTCCTTCAGTCTCCCCTTGTCTGTCTCGCTCCCTTGGCAGCCAGGCTGCGGTTCCCATGGCCCTTTGAACTGAAACTGCCTTCCCAGAGGCCACTCATAACCCCACCTGATACCACTTGCAGGGGTACTCACCTTCCACACAGCCCTTCAGCAAGGTGACCACCACACAGAATTTTCCCACCTCACGCTTTTCTCTCTTCCTCCACTCAAAGGGCTTCTCTCAGTCCACGATTTCCTTCTACTCCTGTGGACTCTATCTTGTTATCCTGGTTCGATCTTCCAACTCTCTCTCCCTCAAGTTCACTGAGGCCTAGTCTGTCTTGCTAGTTCTCCCCTTTTTCTGTACAGCTGCAGCCCCTGTAGGCTCCTCTCCAATTTCCTGCTTCTGAACTTGAATTTTATCTTTTCAGATTCAAGTCAAATCTACAGTCAGCCACCCCATGCAAGTCTCTAGGCTCCTCATTTTCCACATGTCCCAAAAGACCTGCATCTTTGCTTCTTACTCCAAACCTTATGAGTGTGGTCAGTAAGGAGCTGACAGACAGGAACAGACTAAATGTAGGCAAGAGGCAAGTAGAGACACCGTTGCAAAGACCACAGGAGCGAACAAAGCTTAGACCTAGGTGGGGGCCAGGGAGCTGGAGGCCTGAGGGGCTTTTGGATCTGGGAAAGCAGCCAAAGTCTGCCATGGAGGCCTTGACCTGTCTCCACCAGGGTGTGACCTAGGGGGCTGGGATTCCACCTCAGGGATTAAGGTGGGTTAGCCACAAGGCCTGGGATCTGGGGTGGGGGAGGATCATTCAGGAGGATCAGGGTTCTGGCAGAGAAGAGAGACTAAACTCGTTGTAGACACCGCTGTTTTGACTTCTTTGATTCCCTGAGGTGACTAGGGTGGCTTTTTTTGTGGGAGAGTTGAATGCAGATGGGAGTCCCAGAAGCCCATTTGTAGCTGGGAGGTGGCCAGGCAGAACAGGCTGGATGAAGCGTGACATTCTCCCATCTGCCAGCTGTGCCCTGCCCTGGAGGCAGGTGGTTTTCACGAATGGGCTAGTGGCGACTATAGCCAAGGTGGGGCTGAACTGAGTGCTGCATTGCTGGGTGGGGCGTCCCAACCTGCCCAGTCGGCTGGCTAGGGCTTCCCCAGGCAAGAGCTGGGATCAGGCCCAGGCCTGCCTCAGGGCTTGGCACAGAGCCAGAGGCTAGTCTGCTGGCTACACACAGGTAGCCTGGCGCCAGCTGGGCCCTTTGCCAAATTGCCCTATGGCTCTGTTTACAGGAAGAGCTGGACATCCGCCCAAAGGTATCATCTCTCCTGGGCAAGCTTGTCAGCTACACCAACCTCACACAGGGTGCCAAGGAGCATGAGGAGGCTGAGAGTGGGGTGGGCACCCGCCGGAAAGCAGCCAAGGTAAGCTGGTCAAGGGCAGCAGAGTGGCTACACTTGAGAAGATGGAGTCAACACCATGGAATTAGCAGTTCCCCCCAGAGTTGTGGGCATCCCAGGGGATGTGGGTGCCAGGGGTGGTGGTTATGGAAAATGGACTTTGAATGCTTTGGGGGTCAAAGAAACTTCAAAAGGGGCTAAGGGGGATCTCCTCAGGGGTGGGCATCGGGGGTGGAGAGTCAAGGAGGCCCTCAGGAATAACTGAGAGTGGCACTGCCTTTACTTGGCCCTCACTGTGTGGGAGACACCTTGCTCAGCGGTGGGCCTGGGTTCTTGCCTCCCATCTTCACAATAAAGCTATGAAGTGGATAGTTTTATCTCTGTTTGGGAGATGAGGAGGCTGAGTGAGAGTCAGGAGCATTAGGTAACTAGTCTGAGGTTCCTTCCTACACTTCCCTCTTCAGGTAGGCAAGGTCAACACATATCATTAGGATTTACTGTGAGATTTATGGCCTTGCAGAATGCCAAAGCACTGGCATTGCATCAGGGGGCTCAATTAAGGGTATTACCTTTGGAGCCGGGACCCCAGTCGACCCTTAGGGCTATGCTATCTGGAGCAAGTGACCCAACCCTCTGTCCTTCCCTCTCTGTGTTGGTTCCACTGACCCCTCCAACAGCCCCTGGGTTCCTTGAGTGCCAGGGTGGGGTGAGTATGGGGTGATAGGAGCAAGGAACTGCCTCTTGGGGCTTCCCATCCCTCTCCTAACTCCATCCCTGGCCACTCTTCAGGGCCTCAGCCCTTCAGCCCTCCTCTCTCTTCAAGGTGGGACACACCTTTGCTCAGCTCCCCTGTGTGGTGGGGCTCAGTTTAACTGAGGGCTGGGATTTTTTCCCCTATATTTTTGGGTTGAAGGCCAAGAGCCCTCTCTCTCCATCTACTAACTCCTTGAGGTTTGGGAAGCCTCTGTGATCTGCAGGGAGTTTGCGTCTTGCACTGGCTCTTGTATTCTTTTCTCAGTCAGCATAAGCAGAGGAGCTCGTGGTTGGCATGAACTGGGTTTCCAGCCTCAAACCTGCTTATGAGGTTTGGGCCTTGTGAGGATGGGATAGAGAGAGGGCAGACAGACTGATGTGTCCCCCTCACCTAGCCCCTTCAGAAGGCAAATCAGCCCACTCTTCAGAGAGGGCAGCTGAGGTCTTGAGGTCACACAGATCTCACCTTATCCCCACTCTATCCTGCTGCTGGTGATTTTGCTGGCATTTTCTGGACTTCAGAAAGAGAATCCTATCTCTGACTCTGCCCATCCAGCCCTGTGGGGGAGGAGGGGCATGGGAGGTTCAGTCTCTTTAAGTGTTTTCTGCAGTGGGTGGTAGGAACCTTAGGTAAGAGCTTCCCCTTCCAAGGAGCTGTGATTGTGAATGAAAAAGTCCCTAAGAAAGGGTAGTGCGCATCTCAACAGTGCTGAAAGGAAGCCTGGGTTGGTGAAGGACCATGGCCCCTTGTTCTTATGAGGAGCCTGCATATGTGCTTGGGTCCAGCCATGACTTAGCCGCCTCACTCACCCGGCCCTAGAGAAGGATACGAGTGTCCCAAACCATGGACGAAGGAGGAGCTTGGTCAAGTGGATAGAGAGTCAGTAGGAAGTTAGGGCTTTGGGACTGCTGAGCTATGGGCCTCACTCAGGGAAGGTCTGAGCAGGGGCCTCAGAAAAGGAGGCTTCAACTAGGAAGGGCGGGCCTTCACCCGACCAAGCCAAGACCCAAGGCAGCCATTCCATGGCAGCCGCTCAGTTTCTGGCCTGGCGACCTTCTGAGGCTGCCAGAGGTTATTTGGGGATGCACAAAACATTTCCGGCCCTGCCCTTTCCCACACTGCCCTTTTCTCAGAATGACTCAGCCTAGGATGGGGGTGGGGCTGGACACTTGTTGCCACTATCTAGTGGGTGGTCTGGAGCCTCAGACAGAGCTCAGATGAGGTGAATCTGTCACCTATACTATGCAGGAGGGTTTCAGGCCCTTCTTTGGTGCCTTGCACTGCATGCAGGTGCACTCCCGGGCCAGGAGCCTCCAGAAGAGTTCCTATGGCCACACAGTTCTTTCACCCCAGCTCCAGGACAACAGGAGACATTTCTGGTACTCCCATGGAAGTTTGAGGGCCCTGCTGCATTCATGGGGCCTTAGTGCGTCAGGAAGGTGCCAGCCCTACCTCTGTTTCATCCTCTGCCCTTAGATAGTTGAGAAACCTTGCCTAGATGTGCTCATTAGACTTCCTGACCTGCCCTTCAGTCTGAGGGAGTGTGAGGATTCTCTAGGGAGGATTTTTCCAACAGGTGATCCCAGGGGGCTTCTAAGGCACCACTCGCGAAACTCAGGAGCACTTCTTCCAGGACCTGCAGGGCCTGCTTGCCATGGAACAGTGGAAGCCAGGTCTACCCCAGATGATCAACAGACACTTGAGTGAATGATTAGTCTGACCTGCAGTGACCTGCTGCGATAGAAGGAGATGTCAGATGCTGAGGGGATGCAGAGGAAGTAACAAACTCCATCTAAGATAACCCTGGGAAACTTCCTGGAAGAATCAACAGTTAAACCTGAAGGTTTAACTGAAGAGTTTGCCAGACAGTGAGGCAGCACTAACCCTCCTATGCAGAACCTTGCAGATGCCTCAGTTCAGAGACTGTGAGACCCATGTGTCAGGGTCAGGGACTGACGATGAAGGTGCTGAGGCATACCTGGTGACCCCAACCAAGGAATCTGACCCAACCTGTGGGTTCCAGGGTAGACATTGCACAGGGTTTTCAGCGGGGATGAAGTTGGACTAAGTTTTCAGAGACCTGCTCTGCCAGTAGAGTGGCCTGAAGTGTGGAGTTTGGCAGATGCAAGAGGAGAGGGCACCATCCAGGTACCCTGACTTAGTTCCCTGTAGTGGGGGGACTAAGGCTGAGACAAGGCAGGCTGATCTTGGAGCAGCTTGAGAGGCAGACTGGGCATGGATTGGGGTCTGCCGGACTGGAGTTGGGGGTTGGAGAGATGGAGGGCCAAGGACTGCTTCTTGGACTTTGGCTTGGGTGACTTGAGGCCTGCTAGATCTCTCTTTCAGGAAGTGTAACAGAAAGAGAAAAGGAGGGAAGTGGTACCTTGAGAGCAGAAGAGACTGAAAAGCTCTCAAGTGGGGATTTAAAAGAATCAGGTTTTGGGTCTCCCTGGTGGCCTAGGGATTAAGTCTCAGCACTATCACCTGATCCCTGGCCAGGGAGCTAACCCACATATGGCGCAGCAGATCTCCTGTCTCGCCCATTGGTACCCTTGATAGTGTATTTCAGTAAATCTGCCTCTTCTGCCCCCCAGTGTGTCTCTGGTGAATCCATTCATCCCTCACACCTCTGACCTACACCCCAGTTCTTCTGCACAAAAAAAGATAAAAGAATAAGAATAAGGTTTTATACTGTCCCAGTGCTCCCCAGGACTCTACTCGGGTCTCCACTCAGGTGGCTGCTGTGTAAGCAGAGGCTGGCATTCCCTGGTGAATTTGATATTCCATGCACCCCTTCCTCCTGCCCTATAGGCACCCAGCATGGGCACCCTCATGGGAGTGTACCTGCCCTGCCTGCAGAATATCTTCGGGGTCATCCTCTTCCTGCGGCTGACCTGGATGGTGGGCACCGCTGGTGTGCTGCAGGCCCTCCTCATTGTGCTCATCTGCTGCTGCTGTGTGAGTGTCCTCATGGGGCAGGGGCTTGGTTGACCCTCAGAGCCCACCAGCTGAGCTCTCACCCAGGCCCTCCTCTCCACAGACCCTGCTGACGGCCATCTCCATGAGTGCTATCGCCACCAACGGCGTGGTTCCAGGTAGGTAAGCACCACTGTAGATCTGATGGAGGGAAGGGGCCCAGAATGCACCTTGACATGCCCAGGAACCCTCACACACACATCCCAACTCCACACCCCCACCAGAACCAGGGGTCCTAGTTCCTGACTCCAGGACACTGCCAACACTAAGGAGTACTTGACGGTCGGAGGCTGCTATGCTGTTCTGTGGTTCTGTAATGTTTTAGCATAAAAGCAATTTTTTTAAAAAGGTGATGGGGCATGCTGGTGGTCCAAGCCAAGTTGTCTGGCCCCCACTGAATAACTGGGAAGACACTGCGGAGGGTCTTCTGCATGGATGATAAGACTGAACTTGACTTTCCGAGACCTCCTTTATGTTCCCCATTTATTTATTCAACCATGCATTTTTAGCAGTATGGATTCCTGGATATTTATGTTATTCTTTTTTTTTTTTAATAAATTTTTTTTTTAAGATTTATTTATTTATTTATACGAGCACTGGGTACAGTCAGAAGCGTGGGAGGGTGAGAGGATTCACCAGGGGCAGAGCGGGGAACAGAATAGGCAGACTGACGAAATACTCTGCTGAGGGGAGCAGTGGGTGGCAGGAAAGAACTGTGCACCATGTGGGACCCTCGCCCGGCGGCCGGGGATCGAACCGGCGCTGCAGAGGCTGCGGGCAGCTTTGCAACCCACCACTCAACCACTGCACCACAGGGAGGCCCTTTATGTTATTCTTTGGGTCATAATCCAATACTATTATTATTTTGTTGCTCAACCTATTCGAGTTTGGATAGTTACCTATTCAGGATGACACTTGTACCTGGATCCTCTATTTTTTTTTTTTTTAAATAACAGCCTTATTAATATTAGTATAAAGTAATAGGGGAAACAAGGCAATATTGATTACCATTAGAGATCTTAAAGTAAAATGTAGAAAGGAAAATTGAAAGCACCCATAACCCCACTATCCTGTTTCATAACTATTAGTCTTTTGGTATAATTGTATATGTGTGGGGTGGGGGGGCGGAGGTTGTATGTATTTCTGAAATGTTGAAGTAGTTTGGTTTTGTTTTCTTTTTTTCAAACAGAATCGCTCAGATATTATCTCATTTATGTGATGATTCTCCTGCTCTTGGGTTCTGCTTTTTCACTATTGTGAACATCTTGTCATGAACAGTCTTGCACTGAATCCCTGTCCATGCCCCTGGCAGTTTTCTTAGGAAAGGGTCACAGAGGTGGATTATAGCATGAAAGGAATTAACCTTTTTAAAGTTTCTTGATCCTTGTTCCCAGATTTTCCCCAAATTTTATCAGCAGCAGATATATCCACAACTTGGGGTCACTTATGCCCGCATTCTCACTGGCTCTGGGACCCAGTGTTGACGCTCAGTCTTACCAGGGGTGTTAGACTCTGATGGAAGCACAGTCAGGGCAAGAAGGTCAGCCGTGGTCACTCAGCAGGTAGCAGGCCTTGTGCTGGGCCCTGGGGACCAAATAAAAACGGTCAAGACCCAGTCCCTGTCCTGGTCTGAAGGACAGGCACAGTCCTTGGGAGGGTCAGGCACACAGTGACAGGACACATCCAGCCGGAGGAGGCTGTGGGGACTGGCCTAAGTGCAGGGAGTTGAAGGACACCAGCCATTTAACCACGGCTCCAGCAGAGTGGTCATTTCGCTGGGCCAAATGATCTGGCTGTTGAAGTCTGATGGGAATGGAATCCAAACCCCGCCTGACCGCTTACTAAACAGGCAGCCTTGGCCAAGTCTCCCAACCCTTCCGCTCATCTATAAATGGAAAAAGTGGTTTTTGTGGTGAATTGTCATGGCAGAGACCCTTTGAAGAAGAACCAGCTATGACCATATATACTTTTCTGTTGTAGCTGGGGGCTCCTATTTCATGATCTCCCGCTCACTGGGACCAGAATTTGGAGGTGCTGTGGGCCTGTGCTTCTACTTGGGAACAACATTTGCAGCAGCCATGTATATCTTAGGAGCCATTGAGATCTTGCTGGTGAGTCACGCTAAGCCCTGGGCAACTCTGGTCTTATCCAAATAGCCCCTTTCCCTGAGGCCCATGCTGCTCATGCTCCCTTCATCTCTGGCCAGCATCTTGGGATGGGCGGAGGAACTATGAGAGGCCTCCTCACTTCATAGGGAATGTAAAAGCAGTTCCCTGTCTGCCCCCTGACAGTTGGGCCACATTGCCTTCACCTCGGCTGTCGATGTTCTGTCCACCCCCAGCACCACTTTAGCCATGGCAGGAGGTCTGGAAACTCTTGTATTTAGCTCAGTGGCAGTGTGGACACTGGCCAAGGCTGTCACCCTCCAGGGCTCTGTGCCGAGGCCTTCAGATCCAGCTTCTGGTCTTCTCTAAACCAGCGTGAGCAGCCACAGGACCCTGTCTAGAGTTCAGTGCCCCCTCCGTGGGCCATGTGTGCTCTGACTCAGCTTCCTACTCCCCAATGAGCTACCCCGGCTAGTGGGGAGCACAGGATACAAGTGCACCCCTGGGGGTCCAGCTAGTTGGAGATGTTTAGAGGCACTGCCTGACTATTCCTACCTTTGATCCTCCACCGCAGTTTGAAACCTTACTCCTCAGTCTTTTGGGGAATTTGCTTTTTTTGTTTTTCTATTTCTCACATTCCTACATTTATTATTTGGATTTCTTCTGTGAGAAAAATTTTTGTTGTCCTCATTTATTTATTCAACCATGCATTGATATCAGTAAGGAGTCCTCCATATTTATTTTATTCTGTTTTATTCTTTTGTTGCTGAAACTCTTCCATTTTGGCTGTCTACATATTCGGATTGGCTCCTGGGTCTTGATCCCTTTCTTGTTTTTAAGATAATAGCTTTATTAAGGTAAAATTCATATATTCTACAATTCACTACTCACCTAATGTATGTGATTCAGTGGTTATTAATATATTCACAGTCAACCCCACAATTTTAGAGCATTTCATCACTCCCAGAAGAAATCCCATATGCATTAATCTGCTTTCTGTCTTTTATCAGATTTGTATATTCTGGACATTTTGGATATAGAGTTATATAATATGTGGTAAGGAAACCAAAATGACAGAATTCGCTTTCCAAATAGGAAGGTGAACCTTCTTTGTCTGTCTTGTTTCAGACCTACATTGCCCCACCAGCTGCCATTTTTCACCCAGCCAGCACTCACGACACATCGAGTGCCACGCTGAACAATATGCGGGTGTATGGGACCATTTTTCTGACCTTTATGACCCTGGTGGTGTTTGTTGGTGTGAAGTATGTAAACAAATTTGCCTCCCTCTTCCTGGCTTGTGTGATCATCTCCATCCTCTCGATCTACGCTGGCGGCCTCAAATCTATTTTTGACCCTCCTGTGTTTCCGTAAGTAACCTGGAAATACATCTAGATCTTTGATGCCCCAAGTCCCAGAGGCCTGGGGCCTGCAGCTGAACAAGTGCCTGTGCTTTTGCCCCCCCCCCCCACAGGGTATGCATGCTGGGCAACAGGACCCTGTCCCGGGACCAGTTTGACATCTGTGCCAAGACGACCGTGGTGGACAATGAGACCATGGCCACCCGGCTGTGGAGCCTCTTCTGCCTCAGCCCCAACCTTACTGCTGATTCCTGTGACCCCTACTTCCTGCTCAACAATGTGACTGAGATCCCTGGCATCCCCGGTGCAGCTGCTAGTGTGCTCCAGGGTGCGTCCTCACACCCATCCTCCTGCCCCTGCCCCACATGAGGCTGAGCAGGAGGCAGGGGATGAGCATGGCAGGAGAGTGGAGTACAGAGCCGTCCTTGTGTGGCAAGCTCGGGAATGGGGGGCAGCTTTGGCAGCTTTCCAGGCCCAGCAGTGTCCTCTCAGCCTGGCTCCTGGCAGCTAGGTTTTGGTTGAACAGAGCTTGTTTGGCCAGTGTCCCAGGCCTGCAGTAGCACCCGGAAAGTCCTGGCAGCCCCTCTCTCCCCTGCCACCAGCCCCTGACGCTGCCTGGGATTGTTCTCACAAGAACCATAAAGGGCCTCTGTCTAGGAGGCAGGCAGTGGCAGGGCTCTGGCAATGGTGGCTCAACCACCTTTGCCTGTCAGATTTCTAACCAGACAGTGTATCTCTGTAGCCAGAGCTGCCCTATGACTGATGCTGCAGCCACAGGACTGAAACCTCCCCCCTGCACCCCCAGGGCCCCATATCTATATAGCTTCTGGCTGGGCTGCCCCCAGAATGCTCCTGGCAGTAGGTGGGGCTGTAGTGATGACACTGCTGCCCCCACAGAAAACCTGTGGAGCACCTACCTGGAGAAGGGTGAGGTTGTGGAGAAGCACGGGCTGCCTTCCACAGACGCCCTTGGCCTGAAGGAGAACCTGCCGCTGTTCGTGGTAGCAGATATTGCCACATCCTTCACCGTGCTGGTCGGAATCTTCTTTCCCTCTGTAACAGGTGAGCCCTTCTTGCTCCCTTCCCAGCTCTGCCCCCTCTCCTGAGGAGCCCCTGAGGGAGTTTGTCTGTTTTGCAGGCATTATGGCCGGCTCAAACCGCTCTGGGGACCTCCGAGATGCCCAGAAGTCCATCCCAGTAGGGACCATTCTGGCCATCGTTACAACCTCCCTCGTGTGTATCCTTTGCCAGGCCTGGGGTGCACGGGGAGGGGGACAGGAGGACTTGGCTGAATACGCTTTGCTAGCAGGCATGCACAAACGTGCCATCCATGCACACACGAAGAATGCGCGCAACATGAAACCCTCAGTTGTAGGTATCCCAGCCGAGGCTGCTCACCAAGGCCAGGGCGAGGGGCAGGTGGGCCTGTAGGGGGGCAGCAGTGGTGTGAGGCTAACTTTCCTTGACACAGCCCCAGACTTCAGCAGCGTGGTCCTCTTTGGCGCCTGCATCGAGGGTGTGGTGCTGCGGGACAAGTGAGTGAGCTGGGCCCCACCCTGTGGCCATGCGCTCCGCTTTTGCCAGCACATACACATGTCCCACACGTGTCCTCAGGCTGCTGGTGGTCAGTGGCGGTCTATACCACCAGGTGGGTTAGGCCCCACCAAGACCTTTGCTTCTGAGAGGATGATGACATGAGGATCAGGGCTGGGGCCAAGGGGGGAAGTCGCAGCTGATAAACTGGCTGCTTCTGCCAAGGCCAGAGCTGTGCCCACCACAGCCATCCTTCCTCACCCCTCTATCCTTCACTCTGGGCAGCCACACTCAGGGCCCTGGGGCTATCCTAGCATGGACCATGGCCTGAGCCCAGCCCCTGCAGGTACGGCGACGGCGTCAGCAGGAATCTGGTGGTAGGCACACTGGCCTGGCCTTCACCCTGGGTCATTGTCATCGGCTCCTTCTTTTCAACCTGCGGCGCCGGCCTGCAGAGCCTCACTGGGGCACCTCGCCTGTTGCAGGCCATCGCCAAGGACAACATCATCCCCTTCCTCCGGGTGAGCCCGTCTATGCCCCCCACAGGCTGGGTGTTCCCAGCCCCTCACATTGACTCGGGGGGAGAGTAGGGACATGTGTGCAGTCTGTCCTACTGGGGCTCAGAGTGGGTTCTGGGCCCACGTAGCCATCCTTGGGGAGCTGCTGAAAGCTGGGGAGCTACCTGCCCTGCTGTTGGCACAGCTACGTGGGCCCAGAACCATCATGGCCTTTCCGTGGCTCATCCAGAGCATCTATGCGTGGAGAGATGGGGGACAAGGAACTTGTGGTACCTGCTTGGATAGGAAGGGTGTGGCCTGAGCCCCAGAGGAGGGACTTGGGGATCATAGAGGCCGGGCTGTGGCTTGTGGATTGGGAGGTAGGACCAGTTTTTCCCCTTACTGACCCCACTGAGTCTGGTGCTGCAGGTTTTTGGCCACGGGAAGGCAAATGGTGAACCAACGTGGGCCCTCCTCCTGACGGCACTCATCGCTGAGCTGGGCATCCTCATTGCCTCCCTTGACATGGTGGCCCCCATTCTATCCATGTGAGCTGGGACGGGGACAGGGGGGTGGTTTAGGGAAAGACTCCTTACACCCTCAGCACCCCTCCTTCAGGGCTGCCCAAACCACCTCCCTGTGACCCTGTCTGGCATTGAGGGTGCAGCTGGGAGATATGTCAGGCAGGTTGTAGGGGGAGGGGGCCTGATAGGGGTCAGCCTATCCTGCATTCTAGAGTGGGCCTGGCACTGAGAGAGGAGTTATAAAGAGACCAGCCAGTCCCACAGCCCTCTGTGGGAGATTCCTCAAGCCACGCGGCCAGCATCCCTCCATTCCTAGACAGCCAAGCGCCCAGTCCTAGCAGGGCAATTTCTGGGGGTACCTGCGGCAGAGGCTCTGTGCTTACTGTGTTCATTTCTGCCCGTGGGGCCCATTCCATTTCTCATGCATCTCGCCCTACTGCCAGTGCTCCCTCTGGCCTGTGTGGCTACGATGCCTGAAGGCCTGACAGGTTCCCCTTCCCCTCTGACACTGCCTTTCCCCCAGCCACAGCTGGACCTGCTAGAGTCAGCACTCCTTTGTTCCCCAAAACACCCCTTCGCCCACGGTTCACAGCTCCACCCACACATGTGCACATGAAACTTCTTGCTACAGTCGTTCTGGGTGGTGACACCTCACTGCCTAAACCAGAGAGATCTCAGTCTTTATCGTGTGGCTCGCCCACAGATGCCCTCTCTGCTGAGTCCTCTTGCCTCCTTGTCTGCTCGTCCTCTCCTGCCGGCTAAGGGTGGCAGTTGGCGCCTCTCCCCGCCACCCTCTGCTCATCTGACTGTCTTCCCCAGAGGGCTATGCCCTGTCCCTCCATGCCCACCACAGTCTCTCTGATTCAGTGCATTCAGAATGCCCTCATCCCCCACCTGTTCCTCTTCCCCACATTCCTGACAGCTCGTGATCCATCTGGTCATCCAGGGCGCAGGCCTGAGGAGGATCGAGCCACTCAGACACTGAGCACCCTCAGCACCATCCTTGCCCACATACCCACTGGCCGTGGCCTAGCCCGCAGCCCTCTTCTACCTCCTCTGCCGGCTGGCACTTGCTCGCCCTCTTAAGACCTGGCTCTGAAGGAAGGTGTGGGAGTAGAGCTGTGAGGAGCTGGCCTGGCTGGTCCCCAAGGCAGGGCCCTAACATCCTGCAGTTCTTGCTCAGGCCCCTGGCTGCCTCTAAGGCCGCTCCGTACCTACCCATCCCTGTGCTGCAGGTTCTTTCTGATGTGTTACTTGTTTGTGAACCTGGCCTGTGCTGTGCAGACGCTCCTGAGGACCCCCAACTGGCGGCCACGGTTCAAGTACTATCACTGGTGAGCGCGAGTCTGCTCCTGAGCCCAGCCCTCCAGTGTAAGCGCTGCTGAGGCAGCCAGAGCCCCGTTCTGACTGGCATTTGAGTTTCCTGGGCCATAGTTGTTATTGGTGAGCGGTGAGGGGGCTTGGCATGGTGTGCTGCGGGGCTGGCCCTGATTCTTTCCCTGCTCTCTGGCCTAGGACACTGTCCTTCCTGGGCATGAGCCTGTGCCTGGCCCTTATGTTTGTCTCCTCCTGGTATTATGCCCTGGTCGCCATGCTCATCGCGGGCATGATCTACAAGTACATCGAGTACCAAGGGTGAGTGGGGTGGTCTGTATGTTGGGTTGGGGAGAGCCGAGCCTCAGTGCCTGCCCCCCATCATCTCACATACACACGGAATTCCAGAGGGGTGGGAGCAGGGGCTCATCAGCTTATGCTGGTGTCCACAGGGCTGAGAAGGAGTGGGGTGATGGGATCCGAGGCCTGTCCCTAAGTGCTGCCCGCTATGCACTGCTGCGGCTTGAAGAGGGGCCTCCGCATACCAAGAACTGGCGGTGAGTGCACACCCAGGCTGGCCAGGGCCACTAGACCTTCTTAAGGAGCACTGCGAGGTAGGAGGGTCCTCTCCCTAGTCCATATGCGCCTTCCTGGGGTTGCCAAAGGGCCCCCTCTTGTTATTGAGCCCCTGGATCCCTGATACCCAAATGTGGTGGCCTATGGGCTGAAAAGGGAAGAAGAGGAGCCCCTGGAAACCCGGCCCCGCCTCCTCACCTTGCTGCTGCAGGCCTCAGCTGCTGGTCCTGCTGAAGCTGGACGAGGACCTTCACGTGAAGTACCCGCGGCTCCTCACCTTTGCTTCCCAGCTTAAGGCTGGCAAGGGCCTGACCATCGTCGGTTCTGTCATCCAGGGCAGCTTCTTGGAGAGCTATGGCGAGGCCCAGGCCGCTGAGCAGGTACCTGCTATAGTTGTGGGGGTGTGAGCTGGGCTTGAGGGGCCTGGGTTGCACCTGGGGCCAGGGGTATGGCCCTCCCATTTAGAAAACATGGTCCCTGGGTGGGCAGCTTGCTCTTCTCCCCTCCCCCCGGTAGATGTGTGCCCCAGGGGTCTTAGGAAAGGGCCCGGAAGAGGAGAGGCCTTGCCTTCTAACGCTGGTGTGTTCCCCACAGACAATCAAGAACATGATGGAGATTGAGAAAGTGAAGGGCTTCTGCCAGGTGGTGGTAGCCAGCAAGGTGCGTGAGGGGCTAGCTCACCTCATCCAGTCTTGCGGCCTGGGCGGCATGAGGCATAACTCCGTGGTGCTCGGCTGGCCCTATGGCTGGCGGCAGAGTGAAGACCCACGTGCCTGGAAGACTTTTATTGGTGTGTTAGGGGCTCAGGGGCCGGGGTCAGACGAAGCCAGAGAACAAGGGCTTCAGGCTGGGAGTCAGCAATGCCCTCCTCCGCAGACACTGTGCGCTGCACCACGGCTGCCCACCTGGCCCTGCTCGTGCCCAAGAACATCGCCTTCTACCCCAGCAACCACGAGCGCTACCTGGAGGGCCACATCGACGTGTGGTGGATTGTGCATGACGGCGGCATGCTCATGCTTTTGCCCTTCCTGCTGCGCCAACACAAGGTGGGCCAGGCAGGCGGGGCCTGGTGCGAGGGCCTGGGCGCTCGGGGCTAGGGTTGGCTGAACTGCCCACCTGCTCTGCTCTGTCGCCACAGGTGTGGAGGAAATGCCGGATGCGCATCTTCACAGTGGCGCAAATGGACGACAACAGCATCCAGATGAAGAAGGATCTGGCCGTCTTCCTGTACCACCTGCGCCTCGAGGCGGAGGTGGAGGTGGTAGAGATGGTGAGCGCCTCCCCTGCGGGGCCCTGTGGCTCCCCTGCCCCGCACAGCCCAGTCCTCACGGCCTGCCCTCCCCCCAGCATAACAGCGACATCTCCGCGTACACCTACGAGCGAACTCTGATGATGGAACAGCGGTCCCAGATGCTGCGGCAGATGAGGCTGACGAAGACGGAGCGGGAACGGGAAGTCAGTGTCCCTCTCGGCTCAGCCCCGGCGCGGGTGGGAGGGTCAGATCTTTGCAGACACCTTGGAGCGGGCACGCCAGAGCGATTCACCCCCTCCTGCCCCGCAGTCAGTGCCCCTTTCCCCGAGGCCAGGGGCATATGGGCCGGCTAGCCCCGCCTTTCCCCGCCCCGGCACTGAGGCTGCCTCCTGGTTGCGCTCAGGCCCAGCTGGTCAAGGACCGGCACTCGGCCCTGCGGCTGGAAAGCCTGTACTCGGACGAGGAGGACGAGTCCACGGCTGGGGCCGACAAGATCCAGATGACGTGGACGCGGGACAAGTACATGGCGGCCGAGCCCTGGGACCCCAGCCACGCCCCTGACAACTTCCGGGAGCTGGTGCACATCAAGCCGTGAGTGTGGCCGTGGACCAGCCGTCCCGGGGCCTGGAGGTGTCGGTGGGATGGGGCAGGTGAGCTCTAAGGGTGGGCCGGATGGGCCGGTGACGGGCTGCGCTTCCCGCAGGGACCAGTCCAACGTGCGCCGCATGCACACCGCGGTGAAGCTCAACGAGGTCATCGTCACGCGCTCGCACGATGCCCGCCTGGTCCTTCTGAACATGCCCGGCCCACCCAAGAACAGCGAGGGTGATGAGAACTGTATCCTTCCGGGGCGAGGGCGCGGGGCGGGGTCAGCGCTGGGGAGGGCCGGGTTCCCTCCGCCTTCTTTGGGTGCCTCTTGGCCCTGGCGCTGCCTCCTTGACCTCGCGCCCTGCAGACATGGAGTTCCTGGAGGTGCTGACTGAGGGCCTCGAGCGGGTGCTGTTAGTTCGCGGCGGTGGCCGTGAAGTCATCACCATCTACTCCTGAGTCCAGTGCAGACGTGTGGCCTAGCGTGGAGGTGTCCAGGGTAACAGCTTCCTCCCATCATCTCCCCCACCCCTGTGCCTGGGCAGCCCTGGACCCAGCTCGGCTTGGTCTCCACAGAGCCTGGACCTGGGCCTGGCGATGGAAATGAATCGGAGGTCCAGCAGGACCCTGAGGCTTGGGGGCTTTGTCCGTCAGCACCCTAGAAGGGCCGCTCTGACCGGAGACTGGTGGGGACTTACGCGGGGTTGAAGGCAGCCGGCCCAGGAGCGCTATTTATTGCATATTTATTGTTTGGATGTCACCACCAGAGAGAGGGGGAGAGGCAGTACGGGAGGGGGGTCTGACCCAGCCTCCCTGCAGGAAGACCTGGCTCAGGCTACTGTGGGCAGGGATCCCCACCAGGCTGAGCAAAATGGAGCCGGCCAGCCTAGGCCTGACTTTTTTCAATAAAACATTGTGTTCTTCTGGGCCTCCTGCTGCCCTGGCTCTGTTTTCCCTGGCGCCAAGGGAAGAAGGCGGAACTGAACCCAGGCCCAAAGCCTGCTCCCTGAGGCTGTGCCCCTTTCAGGCACTCTCTGGCCACCCCCCATTGGCCAGGCTGCCCCTCCCACTGGCTCTGGGGCCCCTCCCACCCCCACGCCAGATAAGGCCGGCCCAGGACTGCTTCATTGGGCAGTAGGCACTAGGGCTGGAATGGGGCCTCCCGGCACCCCATGGCAGTGGGGGCTGCTGCTGCTGGGGCTGCTGCTCCCCCTGCCGCCCCCTTCTGGCTCCTCAATGTGCTCTTCCCCCCGCACACCACGCCCAAGGCTGAGCTCAGTAACCACACACGGCCGGTCATTCTCGGTAAGCCCCCACCAGGACCCCGACGCTCCAAGCCAGCCCCTGGCAGCAAACCCTGCCAAAGCCTTTCTGGCTACACTAGCCCCGTTACCTGCCTCCGTGTTTGGAGGGGCCAAATGCTTGTCCTGCAGATAAATCAACCTCTTTCCCTGCCACACTATTCTTTAGCTCTGAGTTGTCTGTCCCAGGTGGGTGGAGTGGGGGTGCGGGCGGGGGTGCCTGAGGGCTTGACTGGGGCATTCACTCCACGCTGTGGTCGGCTCCTGCTACTGGACCCTGGACCAAGCCCCACCACTCCTTCCTCAGCCCCTACCCCTCCAAAAGCAAGATGCCCGGCCCACGGCAGGGGAGCAGGAGAGGCCTGTTGAGGCCTTCCCCCTACGCCTGGCCCAGCTCCCCTCCCTTGCTGTTCTCACCTTGGACTTTGGCAGTAATGGAAAGCCAGGCTAGGTGTTTGCTTTGCAGGGGTAGGGGTCAGTGGCCTTGGCCCCTGCACTTTCCCTGCCTGAGGGGAGCCTGGGCTTTGGGCTACTGGGGACCCACAGGAGGGTGCGATCTTAAAGAGGATCATGAGCTTAGTGCCTGGAAGTGTAGGAGGTGAAGGGATGGGGCTGGTCACTGCACTATCTGGGGGGTGAGACTGGGGTGCTGGCCAGGGGAATGGGAGGAGTCCAGAGTGAAGGCTAGTGCCCGCAGTGCCTGGCTGCCTGGGGAATCAGCTGGAAGCCAAGCTGGATAAACCAGATGTGGTGAACTGGATGTGCTACCGCAAGACGGAGGACTTCTTCACCATCTGGCTGGATCTCAAAATGTTCCTCCCCGTTGGGGTAGACTGCTGGATTGATAACACCAGGTACATGCCATTGCCTCTGCCTCCACCCCCACACCCTACCCTTGGCTACTGGCCAGCTGACTGTCCCTTTGCCCCCAGGGTTGTCTATAACCGCAGCTCTGGGCGCGTGTCCAATGCCCCTGGTGTACAGATCCGTGTCCCTGGCTTTGGCAAGACCTACTCTGTTGAGTACCTGGACGAAAACAAGCTGGCAGGTACGTATATTGGAGAGGACTAGACTCCAGGCTGCGGTGGGCCCACCAAGGCCATGGCCAGAACCCCCAGTGCTGCCACCTCCTCACAGGGTACATGCACACACTGGTGCAGAATCTGGTCAACAATGGGTACGTGCGTGATGAGACGGTGCGGGCCGCCCCCTACGACTGGCGGCTGGAGCCCAGTAAGTGTCTCCATGATGATGGGCTCGGAGCAGGGTAGGTGGAGCCAGACCTCAACGGCACTGACCCCTTGCTCCTCCACAGGCCAGCAAGAGGAGTACTACAGCAAGCTCGCCGGGCTGGTGGAGGAGATGCACGCTGCTTATGGGAAACCTGTCTTCCTCATTGGACACAGCCTTGGCTGCTTGCACTTGCTCTATTTCTTACTGCGCCAGCCCCAGGCCTGGAAGGACCGCTTCATCGATGGCTTTATCTCTCTTGGAGCTCCCTGGGGTGGCTCCATCAAACCCATGCTGGTCTTGGCCTCAGGTAAGAGGCCTCTGATCACCTGTGTCCTGTCGGGAGTGGGAGGTGAAATGGAGCTAATGGTGGGTCTGCACTCACTTTGCTGACAATGCCAGGCTGGGGGTGTTTCAGTCACCCCTAGGCTGCAGCTTCGGGCAGTGGCCTCCCCAAGTGCAGTGAGCCTGGCCTAGACTACATTAGAGCAGCCCATCCCAGTGATGACAAAGAAGAAGTGAACCCCAGCAATCTGACTCATTGCCCCATTTTTGTGGCTCGTGGCTTCCGGTCCTGCCTACCCAGCTATCAGTTAAGCTCTATTTCCAGCACTCCCTTTACCGAGAGATCTGCCTTAAGGAGGACAGATCTACCAGAGCCAAGGCCAGAGCCTGCCGGCCTGAGGAGTGGTACAACCATCACCTGCCGAGCACCCGCGGTGCACTGGGTACAGCCACACTTGGCCTTCCCTTAGGAGCGCAGGGTCTGGTGAGGCAACACTCATCAGACCACATCAATGAGTGTCAGTCACAGACACAGCCCCACTTCTCCCCTCCCGGAAGCAGTGAGCAGTGCAGGCCCCAGGGGCTGCAGACACTTGCCTGAGGTACAGCTGCCAGCACCACCCCCAACACCCACACTCTCACCATCCTCAGGAAACCCCTCCCCACTCTCCTTTTGGAGTCTACAGCTCAGCCCCATAGAGGGGCCATCAGGGATATTCATTTTGTGAGCACTTCAGCATCTGCCGAGGCCAGGCCTGCTCTCGCCTGTGGCTCGGAACCGCTGTCTGGATTGGGCGGAGGCGAACGAGCATCCGGCAGAACTTGGACTGGGGGCCAAGTAGAAGGCTGGGCAGCCGGATTTGGCTCCCCTGCCCTACCTTGCTGCTTGTGCACAGGTGACAACCAAGGCATCCCGATCATGTCCCGCATCAAGCTGAAAGAGGAACAGCGCATGACGACAACCTCCCCCTGGATGTTTCCCTCCCACCAGACATGGCCCGAGGACCACGTGTTCATTTCTACACCCAACTTCAACTACACAGGCCGTGACTTCCAGCGCTTCTTTGCAGACCTGCACTTTGAGGAAGGCTGGTACATGTGGCTGCAGTCACGTGACCTGCTGGCGGGCCTCCCCGCACCTGGTGTGGAAGTGTACTGTCTGTATGGCGTGGGCAGGCCCACGCCCCGCACCTACATCTATGATCACGGCTTCCCCTACAAGGACCCGGTGGATGTGCTCTATGAGGACGGTGATGACACTGTGGCCACCCGCAGCACCCAGCTCTGCGCTCGCTGGAAGGGCCGCCAGCCGCAGCCTGTGCACCTGGTGCCCCTGCACAGGCTACAGCACCTCAATATGGTCTTTAGCAATCAGACACTGGAGCACATCAATGCCATCCTGCTGGGCACCTACCGCAATAGCACCCCTGCACCTCCAACTGCCAGCCCAGTGCCCCTGCCCCCTGAATAAAGACTTTTCCTTTGCTCTGTGAACCCTGATGTGTGTTTTAGGTTGAGGGGGACGCACTAGAGTCCACACACCAGGATTCACTCAGCAGCAGCCACTAGCCTGGTACTTTGTGGCACACAAGGCACAATGGGCTTTGCTAAGGCCTGGGACTGAATTGGGCCCTGAGGTATACAGCTCTCTGCGCTCCTGCTTCAGCTGCTTAGGTGGCCTGCTCTGCCCTGGCCATAGGGACTGGAGCCAGCTGCACACACAGGTGTGGGACAGGGGTACATGGAGCCAAGGGTGCAGGGGAAGATGTGAGCTATCCCCCCAACTCCCAAAAGAACCTATACACAGGACATTTTGTGTTAGATGACAGAAGCATAGGAGTTTAGAATTTGAGTGACAGCCACTAATGAAGTTTTAATTATTAATGGAGCTAAGTGGTCTGTAAGGGAAATTGAGGGAGCAACAGGGGCTGAGTGTGGATCAGGGAAGGCTCCTCGGAGGTGGCACCTATGCTGAGCGAGCAGCTGCTGAAGGACTCAGCCAGGGATAGCTATGACGGGACTGGTAATCTAGAAAGAGGCTGCAGGGAGCAGAGTGTAGCCTGGGGCAGGGACTGGCTGGTAGGAAGCAAGGGGAAGCCAGGGGCCCAGTGCAGCAGCCGGATGAAAGAATGCTGGCTGAGAAGAAAGCAGTAGTTAGGGGAAAGATGTGGACAGATAAAGGGTCATTTGAGAGGTGAAATCTTGGTATCTTTGCCATAGAGTATAGGATGCCAGGCCATCAGACGGCCACAGTACACCTCATAGGAAGCACCCGAGATAGGACAGCCTCACCCCGCAGAAGGAAGGAAGCAAAGGCAACAAAAAAGAGGCAGGCGGTGGGAGGAGGGTGATAGAGGACTAAGGCAGCCATGCCTGATGTGTCAGGAGGCCAGTAAGAAAGTGGAGAGACGGCGGGCCTCCCGGGTGGTGCAGCAGGTTGAGGGCAGCGCTGTGAAGCTGTCTGCAGCCTCGGCAGTGCACAGCCTCTGCAGTGTGGGTGGGTCCCCAGCCGGCCAGGGAGATTCCCACATGGCGCCGCAGACCTCTCCTGTCTCGCCCGCTGCTCCCCTCAGCAGTGTACTTCGATCAATCTGCCTGTCCTGTTCCCCGCTCTGTCTCTAGTGAACCCTCACACCCTCCTGCCTCTGGCCTGTACCCCAGTTCTTGTATAAAAATAAATAAATCTTTAAAAAAAGAAATAAAGTGGAGAGACGGGGCCAAAGGTCTGACAGCCTCGGGGCGCTGGGCCTTGAGGTTAGAGTTGGGGTCGGCACAGGCAGGGGCTCAGTGGAACCAGAGCAGAGGAAGGGATTTGTCCCTCTGTTCAGGGGACCTGGGAGCAGCGTGGAGGCCACGCAAGGAACAGCACCTCCTCTCGACCTGCTGAGGAGCAGGGGCAAAGGTGAAAATGAAAGAAAAGAGGCAGAAAGGGGCGAGCAGAGCCGAGGTGAAAGTGAAAGCAGGAAGTACCAACGTGGAGCGCGCACAGGACTCGGCGGCGGCCTCTGTCCTGCGGGCCTCGCTCCTCCCAGCGCCGCCACCAGCCCGCCCGGGACGGCCAGGCGGTGGGGTCCGAGATGCTGAAGCCGGCGCCAGCGCTCCCCCGCGGGGGCTTCTCCTTTGAGAACTGCCAGAGGTGAGGGGGGGCAGGGCTGGACGTCTGCGGCCCGGGGCCGGGGCGGGAGCCGGGCCTGCTCTCCGGGTGGCGCGTGCGGCGGGGCTGGGCCGCGGGAAAGGCCGGGGGTTCCCAGCCTGAGCCGGGCGGCGGGGCGCGGGGCGCGGGGGGCGGGGGGGGGACCTGGGTCCGGGGTCACATCGCCTCTCCGGCTGTTCCAGAAACGCAGCCTTGGAACTCGCTTGCCCCGGGCTCCGGGCCCCTCGAGCTCGCAAGACCGGAACGACCATCGCCGGCCTCGTGTTCCAAGTGAGCAGGGGCTGGGCCGGGGCGCAGGGGGGCGGCGGGGGCCGGCGGGACTGAGTCGGGTCCCCCGGCCCCCAGGACGGTGTCATCCTGGGCGCGGACACTCGGGCCACCAACGACTCTGTCGTGGCGGACAAGAACTGCGAGAAGATCCACTACATCGCCCCCAAAATCTAGTGAGAACTCCCCAGCCCCGACCCCTTCCACGAGGCGCCCCTCCTCCCCACGCCGCCGCGCGCGCCGGCCCGCCCACACGCCGCTTCCCCCGCAGCTGCTGCGGGGCGGGGGTGGCCGCGGACGCCGAGATGGTCACGCGGATGGCGTCGTCCAACATGGAGCTGCACGCGCTGTCCACCGGCCGCGAGCCCCGCGTGGCCACGGTCACCCGAACTCTACGCCAGAACCTCTTTCGGTGCTGGGGCGGGGCTGGGGCGGGCGGGGAGGCGCGCGGGGAAAGGGCGGCACAGGGGAGGCGCGCCCGGGGAGGGGCTGGGAGGCGCGAGGGGCGCCGGGTCCTGGAAGGGGCGGGCCCGGGCCCTGGGGGCGGGGGGCGGGGGGCGGGGGGCGGCGCCGGACGGGGCGGGCGGCTGAGCGCGTCCACTCTGAAAAGGTACCAAGGCCACGTGGGGGCGTCGCTAGTCGTGGGCGGCGTGGACGTGAAAGGGCCGCAGATCTACGGCGTGCACCCCCACGGCTCCTACAGCCGCCTGCCCTTCACGGCCCTGGGTGAGTGCTGCTGCCCCCCCGCCCCGCCCCTGCCCCGCAGAGGGGCGGCGGCTGTTGACGGCAGGCGCCCCTACTCTGCAGGCTCGGGCCAGGACGCCGCCCTGGCGGTGCTGGAGGACCGCTTCCAGCCCAACATGACCGTGAGTGACTCCTGCCCCCCACTGTTTCTTCACTGGCGTGGGAGGGGCGCCGGGAGCCCGGGGAGCCAGAGACACCCTGGCCTACTCCGGGGTGGGGGGATGCTTCTCGGAGGAGGCGCGGGCTGAGTGGAGATGGAGGGCGGTGGTGGGAGGGTGGAGAGGTGCTACTCCAGCCTCCGACCTCCGCCTGCGGGAAGAAGTGGAAGCCCAGAGAAGCGTGGTGAGGAGGAGGAGATGACAGGTGGGGTCTGGAGCCCCGGTGCTGGAGGATGGCCGTGGAAGCAGACGGTGTGTGTCACTCCAGAGGTGCCGAAGGCGCAGAAGGAGAAAGGCAGCAAGCTGGTGCCCAGGGGCACGAGCACGCGGGCGGCTGGACAGAACACTAGTGGAAGTGACTCGGAAGTTTGTGAAGGGGGCCGCGGGCCCAGGAGCTCTGGAGAGGGAGGCGGGGAAGGCGGTGGGGAGGGGGTGGGAGAGGAGCCTGGGTGTGAGCCAGTGGCAAGTAGCCTGGGTGTGAGATTAACCTGATCTCCAGGCCATAGCCTGAAGGGGATACCAAGAGCCCCTCGGGCCTCACACGCACGTGCCCACAGCTGGAAGCCGCGCAGGAGCTGCTGGTGGAAGCCATCACTGCAGGGATCCTGAGTGACCTGGGCTCCGGGGGCAGCGTGGACGCGTGTGTGATCACCGCGACCGGCGCCAAGATGCTGCGAACACTGAGCTCGCCCACGAAGCCCATAGAAAGGTGGGAGCAAGGGAGGCGGGACTCCAAGGAAAGATGTGGCAGCATCAGGGAAGAAAGGGACGGGCCACGCGATGGGCGCACACTGAGAGGCCATCGTACCCCCTTCCAGGTCCAGCCAGTACCACTTTGCCCCTGGGACCACACCTGTCCTGTCCCAGACGGTGACACCACTGCCCCTGGAGCTGGTGGAAGAAACCGTGCAGGCCATGGAGGTGGAGTGAAGGAGGCTGCGATTTTAGAATTTGGAACAAGGGAAATAAACCTAGAAAATACAGACACCAAAACAGACGGCTGTATTATTCTTGGGTGCGGGGGTGGGGGGTGGGGCAAGCAGCCCACAGGGCTAAGATATCCCCACAGGGGCCACTCCCCTCCTGTGCCGGTGCTGTGCACCAGCACCTTAGGCATCGACGCTTCCAGAGCCTGGGAAGCATGTCGGATTCAAGGTGAACAGTCCCATCCAGACTCCACATCCTAGAGGCTACCCCTGCCACCACCATGCCTTGTTCTTGGCCCCCAGTCCACTGGGGACTCTGGTGAAACCCAAAGGCCCCAGGTCCTGAATCTTTACTAGGTGGCCAAAGAAAAGGCCCTTACCTCTCAATTCCCCTCCCTCACCCGCCATGGACCCCGTTGAGGGCTAACGTGCTGATAGAGGGGCTGCTCCCCTGACTCCAAGGGCCCATTTTCAGAAAACTTCTCACCCCTGCAACCTTTTACCTGTGGAACCCCTCTGATAACCAGGCACACTTAACATGAACCTGGTGGGCTGACTCCAAGTTTTCTAGACCGCCAGGGACCACAGGGCCCGTGTGAAATGACTTATTTATCAACAAACCTCTGCTGAGTACCCACTGAGTGCTAGGCCTGGATGCTCGGTACTGGCAGGAGCATCCTGCCCTGGAAGAAAATGGCTGAGGGGGGGGGTGGTCCCTGGTGGCACAAGAGGTGAAGACGTAGCACTGTGAAGCTATCCACAGCCACTGCAGCACTGAGTTCCATCCCTGGCCGGGGAGGTGACCCATATGATGCAGCAGACCTCTCCTGTCTCTCCTGCTGCTCCCCTCAGCAGTGTCGTTTGGTCAGTCTGCCTGTTCTGCTCCTCACTCTGTCTCTGGTGAATCCTCTCACCACCCACACCTCTGGCCTGTACCCCAGTTCTTCTATGCATAAATAAATAAATCTTAAAAATAAAAAAGACTGAGCCACACTGGAGCTTCAGAACTTAGGAGTCTGCCCAGCCTCTGGGGAGGGTCTGCTCCAGCCAGGACAGTCCCTGGGCCCTGGTTGTGTTTTACCCTCAACACTTTTATTATGGGGCCTCCCCGGTGGCGCAGTGGTTGAGCGCTGGGTTGCAGAGGCTGCGGGTTCGATCCGCGGCTGCTCCCCGGCCAACGGAGGAGGGTCCCACATGGCGCGCAGACCTCTCCTGCCGCCCGCTGCTCCCCTCAGCAGTGTACTTCGGTCCTTCTGCCTGCTCTGCTCCCTGCTCTGGCTCTGGTGAATTCTCTCACCCTCCCGCGCTTCTGACTGTACCCAGTGCTTGTATAAATAAATAAATAAATCTTTACCAAAAAAAATCTGCCTTTAAAAAAAAACTTTATTATGAAGACTTTTTTGTTTTTTAAAGATTTATTATTTATTTATACAATAGCTGGGGCCGGCCTCAGAGCAACCCACATGGCGAGCTGACCTCTCCTGTCTCGCCAGCTGCTCCCCTCAGCAGTGTATTTCGTCAGTCTGCCTGTTCTGTTCCCCGCTCTGCCTCTGGTGAATCCTCTCACCCTCCCGCACCTCTGGCCTGTACCCCGGTTCTTGTATAAATAAATCTTAAAAAAAAAAGAACTGGGGTACAAGCCAGAGGTGCGGGAGGGTGAGAGGATTCACCAGAGACAGAGTGGGGAACAGAACAGGCAGACGGACCGAAACAGCAGGGGAGCGGCGGGCAAGACAGGAGAGGTCTGCTGCGCCATGTGGGTATCTCCCTGGCCAGCCAGGGATTGAACCCACACTGCAGAGGCTGCAGACAGCCTCACTGCACTGCGCGCAACACCCTGTGCCACCAGGGAGGCCCCTGATGTGTTGATTCAGCTGGAGTCCTCACCCCTAGGAGATCAGCCAACTTACCGATGGCAGCTTTGCTGAGAGGGGTCTCCTCTTGGGTTCAAGCTCAGTCTAGAGCTCAACAAACAGGCTGTTGACATTAGCGCTTAGCCACAGAAGCCCCAAGGCCTGGAGGCCAACAGATGGCTGTCACCCTTCCGGGGCAAACTCTGTGTAGGGTCTGCCAGTCACCAAGGGTTCATACCTTGCCGTCCTATGTGCCAATTCCTTTCCAAGCACCTCATCAGTAAGAGTACAGGCTTCAGAGTCAGATGAAGTTTTGGGTCCAAATGTACCATGTGCCGGTGAAAGTCACCATATCTCCAAGCAAACGTGACTCTTGTTCCAAGTTCATGTGGATTCACTGAGATGACACCTGTTCAAAATGGGTACCTGCCAGAACACCTGGTCCCGGCCCTCCACAGCAAAGCTGGCTACAGATGGACATTCCCTCCACTAGTCAAAACACTCCTGGGTGCTGAGCAGGCTTCTCTGGAAGTCTGATATCCTCGATAGCCCTGGATATCGAGGGCTGCCTTGATCCCAGCCACCAGGTGGTTACCATAGACCTAATTTAACCATGTCCGGGGTACACAATGATCCATCAGTTGGGTGTAATTCGGGAAACCAATCAGAAGCCAGGCCTTGAGGGGTGGGGAGGTGAGAACCTCACACCTGGGCTCTGATAAGTGCAGATCGGGATGAGGAACCTTGGCCTAGAGACACCCCTCCTGAGCCGAGCATGGGAGGGCACCGAGTTCACACAGCTGGTTTGGCCTCAGGCCTGAAACTACGGCCCAAGGACAAGGAGACCCATAAAGCCAGGCTCAGTTCTCAAAGACCTCACATCTGCCACAATGCTGCTGCTCAGCCTGACCCTTAGCCTGGCCCTCCTCGGTTCCTCTTGGGGTAAGTAGGTCGGAGGAGCCCTGACTAAACAGCCTGAGGAGCAACAGTTTCTAGCACCAACCCAGGAGCTCAGGGAAGGGACCAGGCTGGACGAAGTAGGCAAAGGAAAAAGGACCAGCACCAGGGCGGGGAGACAGCGGGAGGTGGGCACAGGCTGGTCTCATAAATGGGACAGGAACTGCTAGGCCTGGAGCTGAGACGTGAAGGTGGACCCAGTTTAGGAAGAGCCCTCTGGCTGCATGGAGGGTACAGAATGGACTGCTGAGGCCCCAAGGGGACTCTCTGGCCCGGGAGAAAAGTGGGTGGGCTGGAACTGGGGAGCAATGGAGGTGGGAGGAGGGACAGGACCCGGCAGATGGCTGGCTGGGGTGACCAAGATGGCCATGGGGGCCAGGAAGCCACCCAGAATGAGAAGGGCTAGCGCTGAGGCCTCCATTTGAACCCCTCTGGGCTGTAGAGTCTGGGGACACCCAGAAGACAGGTGGGCTGGGGCGTGGACAGTAGGTCCTCACCAGCCCAATGTTCAGGCTGCGGTGTTCCTGCCATCAAACCCGCGCTGAACGCCAACCAGAGGATCGTCAATGGTGAAAACGCAGTGCCTGGCTCCTGGCCCTGGCAGGTGTCCCTGCAGGTACATGCACCCCCGGGGTGGGGCAGGGAATCTGGTGCCTTGTGCCCAGTGGAGCCTGAGTCCACCCTTACTTCTGACTCCTGACCGCAGGACAACACCGGCTTCCACTTCTGCGGCGGCTCCCTCATCAGCCCCAATTGGGTGGTCACTGCCGCCCACTGCAATGTCGTGTGAGTGCTTCCTCCCCACCTGCTCTGCCTCAGCCCACCTCGCCCCCCCACCTTCCCCAGCATGGCCCTCTTGTTGTTCTGTCCTCCTTGTGGTTGCCCAACCCCATTCTCGCTGCAGCGCTGGCCGCCACTTCGCTGTCCTGGGCGAGTATGACCGCTCCTCCAACGCCGAGCCCGTGCAGGTTCTGTCCATCTCTCGGGTGAGTGCCTGGACTGCTGACACGCGAAGGAAAAATGGGCAGTGCCAGTGGCCTGGGCTCCAGGGGTGGAATTCAGGCTACGCCCTGGTCTACCCGCCTCAGCATCCCGACCCTGAGGACCTGTGTCCGCCCCCATCCTTCACAGTCCCTTCCTGGCTCTACAGGTTATCACACACCCTAGCTGGAACCCCAGCACCATGAACAATGACATGACGCTACTGAAGCTCGCCTCCCCAGCCCGGTACACCGCACAGGTCTCGCCTGTTTGCCTGGCTAGCCCCAGTGACGTGCTGCCCGCAGGTCTCACATGTGTCACCACCGGCTGGGGCCGCATCAGCGGTGTGGGTAGGTTAGGTCAAAAAACCCTGGTGTGAGAGCTGGGAAGGGGACAAGCCATTGGGGCACTGGGGGCCTAACAGCTTCCTCCTGGCCCACAGGCAACGTGACCCCAGCACGCCTGCAGCAGGTGGTCCTGCCCCTGGTCACTGTGAGTCAGTGCCAGCAGTACTGGGGCTCAAAAATCACCGACTCCATGATCTGCGCAGGTGGCGCAGGGGCCTCCTCGTGCCAGGTAAGCACCGGCAGCGTACCTCTGCACTATCCGGCGGCACCCCGCTGCATATGCTGACTCCCCCCTCTCCTTCCCTCAGGGTGACTCTGGAGGCCCTCTTGTCTGCCTGAGGGGGAACACATGGGTGCTCACTGGCGTCGTCTCCTGGGGCACCGGCAACTGCAACGTGCACGCACCTGCCATGTACACTCGCGTTAGCAAGTTCAGCGCTTGGATCAACCAGGTCATCGCCTACAACTGAGCTCACTACAGTCGCTGCACCCCGCCCCATCTCAATGCAATAAAAAATCCCAGGCTCTGTCCTTGGTGATTCCTTGTCTGTACTCCTGGCTTAGGGGAAAGGAGAGACTCCTGGGGGTCCCACTGGCTGCTTGGGCTTTGTCTTCTGGCACAGCAGGTGCTGTGGAGTCAAGGGCTTCTGGCCCCCACCCCTCTTCTTCCTGGGCAACCCCTTAGAGAGGAGCCAGGACTGTCAGAATGAATGGGCAGCCTTCCCAGAGGAGGGCAGCCTGTTTATTGAGTAGAGGATACATTTACAAACTGAGTACACAAAATAAATAACTGCACATTTTCCATCCATGGTCCACAGCATGAAGGCCCAGGCAGGCCTATCAAAAGCCCGAGTCTCCAAGCCCCCTCTACCCTCCCTTCAGACCGGGCCTATCCTGGCAAGAGAGGAACTAAATCCCTCAAACTCCCAGAGGCATTTGGGGAAGTAAGAGGAATTCTGGGACCATGGGGCTTGGGATCTCCACTGCCTTGGGCCAGGGGCACCGGACAGAAGGAAGGGGTATATAAGGCACAACAGACTTGGCCCAGAGTGGACTCTCTGGCTTGGTTCCCCACTGGAGATGGCACATATAGAAAGAGGGGGGGCTGGCTCAAGGCTACCCACCAGGAAGCACTAAGTAAGGGCCAAGCCCTCCCTGCTGGCAGGGGCCCCCGCAGTCTAGCTAAGATGAAAGCCGGGCCCTGCCTCCTATCTACTCACTGAAAGCAGCAGTGGAAGGGACTTGGGTTCCAGCCCAGTTTGGTGGGGGAGTGGGGGTAGAGGGGTACGGTGTGGGCTAGGTGGAAGACACTACCACAGACATGGGGATGGTCTGGCTCAGGCCTCTGGGAAGGCAGCCACCCAGTTCCACCCACCTCCCCCAGGGGCTCCTTCCAGCCTGAGACTCAGTGGAGCCCAGACTACATGGTTAATGCTGTGAAAGGAAGAGGGACAGACTGGACGGGAAAGCCCAGCTGTGAGAAGGCCAGTGCCCCAGGCACTCAGGTTCAGAGGCAGGTCACACAGTATGGCTAAGTTCCAGGGGCTGCTGCACAGAAGCTCAGCAGAAGAGAGCTGAGCAGCATGGGGACCCTCCCTAAATGCAGCAGCTCCCTCCTTCCCCCTTCCTCTTGGAGGATGAAGGGTAAAGCTCATTTCTAGGCGGCCCACATCATACCAGACACTAGGTGGCGCCTTCATGCAGCTGCACAGGAGGGAGCTGACTGAAAGGAAGTGGCAACCGGCAGTAGCAAGGGGGCGTCGGGGCTGACTCTGGAACCCTAACAGGGCTTTCCCTAGGAAGCCGGTGTCCTCTGCCTTGGCCCAGGTGCCCCCACACCCCAGGTAGCAGCAGTGGGGTTCACTTTAATCCCCCACAGTGGGAAGGAGGCACCTGGGGAATAGATGGGCATCTAAGGGGTGGGGGAAGGGAGGGAGGTAGCGGTGGGCTCTGCAAAAAAGGCACCGAGAATAGTGGACACAAAACCTCTCAAGTGGCAGAGGCAGTCTGGAGCCTGGAGCAAGCCTGCTACCCACATGGCCACAGCCCAGAATGGCTACGATCATGCATAGCCCTACCGAATGTGCTAGCAAGTCCTGGGGCCAGGAGGGGCCCCTGGGGCACCATGAAGGAAGACAGATCTTGACTGAGAGGTGGGGGTCTGTTTAGACTTAGCCAGGGATTGAGATTCTGTTCAAGGCACAAGCTTCGTGCACAGCTGGGCCTCTCAGTGGAGTACCATCTTGATTGGGATGCCATGGAATGGGGCAGCGGGGTGGGGTGGGGGTGTGAGGCAAGTAGAGAAAAGAGATTTCCAGAAGTAACTGTCCCAAAGAGTCCTGGGACCACAGGATACCCTCTACCTGGCACTACATTTCCCTTTCCTCTAGGGGAAGAGCCAAGGTTGAGGGAGACTGAGGGTCAGGTCCTGCTCTTTCCCCCAACTATATCAGATCAGCTACCAACCAAAAGGAGTATCTGTTGCCAGGCCAGGCTCCCAGTTAAGGGGACTCATAGACCCTGAGCTCCCTCCACTCTCACACCAGGCTCTGGCCCAGGATGAGGATGGGGGCTACTGAAGGCAGAGAAAGGGCTGGGGTCAGATAGTCACCTACCACAAGCCACACAGGCCAGTCTCCAGAGAGGAGGTTGGGCCCAGATGGCGCAGCAGAGCGTGGCCGGGCCGGGAGCACGCTGTCTGGACCAGGCCGAGGCTCAGCCATTGTACTGCTGCTGATAGCGCAGGTTGAGCTCCCGTAGCTCCCGCTCCCGCACTCGGCGAGACTTGTTGGAGCGTGTAGAGCGGCTAGAACGCGTAGACTGGGCAGATTTGGTGCTCTGGCAGCGGGAGGAGGCGCGTTTAAGGAGGTTCTGGGAGATGGAGCGGTGCAGATTCTTCATGGATGAAGAGGCTGCCATGCTCACCACCCACGGGTGCCTCAGGGCCTGCAGTGCAGTCATACGGGCGCCAGGGTCCACAGTCAGCAGGCGGTCAATGAAATCCTTGGCCAGGTTGGACACACTGGGCCAGGGCTAGAGGCCAAAGACAAGGGTTAGCACAAGGAGACTCAATACGACCCACCCCCCCCCCGCCGCCAACAGCTACCACCATGGCACTGTGTCTGCCCAGCAGCCCAGCCCTGCACTCTGCCCCGAGAGAGGTACTGCCTGGCTCCTCTGGACAGAGGACTGTGGGTCTTCCCGGTAACAAGGAAACTCATAAGAAGGACTTGACTCTCCACCCCAAGGACATACTTCTAAGGTGCCCTGGACTCCAAACCTAGCTCAGGGAGGGAGGCCCTGTCAAGACCCCCCCAACCTGCCCCAGATCACTAGAACTCACCAAGGCTTAAAGAAAATGACACAACCCTCCAACGCATCCTGAGTCACATCAGAGTCTAATCCCTGGTGCGCATACCAGGTCACTCCAATAAACTCCCTAGTCCTTACAGAGAGGGTCCACCCTCCCTCCAACTGACACAGTGATGGTGGACAACGTCTGCATTCCTGGCCATTAGCCTCAGCCTCAGCTCCCCCTGACCCCCGGCCCAGTCATGGGAAGAAAAGGAAGCAATTCACAGGAACTTGAGAGGACCGGGGGCTCCTGGGAACTGGGCAGGGACCCTTTTCAGGGCGCTCTCCAGTCTGCATGACTTCTTTCAGCCATGCAAGGGGTCCTGGCAGGGTTGTGTGCTGGCCTCATTTCAGAATATTCTGTCCCCAGGGAGGCCCAAAAGTCTGCTCAGCTACATGTACCCATGGCTGCCTGGTCTCAGCTGCACACCAAGCAGCTGTGCATCTCCCGGCCTCGGCAGGCAGAGCTAGCCTTCACCTGGCTGAGTCCTTCAATATATAGGGTAAAGGAAGCTTGTTCAGACTCCCTCTCACTCCCTGGTGCTAAGCAATTATTCCAGCAATTTCCAATTTGTTGTTCTCATTAGACAGCGCTGAGCTGGAAGAGACCTAGCACCTGGCGCTAGGCAAACAGGAGGTACTCAGCGATACACACGCAGAGAGTAAACAACCTATGGTGGGCTGGCCTCTCGGAGCTGCTTGCAGGCTGTGAGGCGCAGGCAGGTCAAGCCCCTCGGCCCCTCTGCTGAAGGAGGGCAGATGAAGCACTGCTCTGTACCCCTGCATCCCCTGGAACCACTTTGGTATGGGCTCTGATTCTCCCCAAAGTGGGCAGCTCAGACCTTTGCTGCAATGGCTTGGCTGGGATGCCGAGGGTGCCATCTCCCTCCTTTCCGGTTGGTGAGGTCTGCCTGTGCTACCCCGTGGTAGCCTTCACTTGGGGGAACCTCTGAACACACTTTTCAGAGGACTCGGTAAAGTGAGTGTCCACCTTTGGGGCAGCTGCATGTCCCTTCAGCAGGGACTTAAATACTGACCCCAGCTACCCCCATTCTGGCTCCCTGGACCTCCTACTCCTCGCATGCCCTTGTGCAGGGGGTGGGCAGGGAGAACACTTATCCAGAGTTCTGATGAAGGGGCAGGTCCAGCTGCAGTTGTTATCCTTAGCTGCCCTTTGGGGAGCAAATCTCAACTTATACTGGGCTAAACTGAAAGTCAAAGGAAATCACATTTCCTAACAGCCACCTAACAGGGTCTTCCTCACCTACAGGCCAGTTCCTAGTGATTCCTGGGGAAATGCTGGCCCTCAGGACCAGGAGAGTCAGGGTCTCAGGAACACGTGGCAGAAGGAGGCCCGCAAATACCTTGCTGTCTGGGAGTAGTGGGGGTGCAGGGAGCAAGAGTCCTCCCACAAAGGCAGCCCAGTCCACATTTCCTTGCAGGTCTATAGAGCTCCTGGAGCCAGTATTGAGGCCAACATGTAGGGTGAACAGACAGTTGTTCTAGTAGCTTCTGACTCACAGTTCAAGAAAGCCATATGGCTTGATGGATACAAGGAACCACTGAAGGGGCAACCACAGATACACAGAACGTGGCCCCTATTCACTCGCTTAAGAGATGGAAAGCATGGGGCCTCCCTGGTGGCGCAAGGCATTAAGACTCAACCTATGAAGCTATCCGTAGCGACCACAGCACGAGTTCAATCCCCGGCCAGGGAGCTACCTACATGGCGCAGGAGATCTCTCCTGACTCGCCCACTGCTCTCCGCCCAGCAGCATATTTCAGTGAGTCTGCCTGTTCTGTTCCCCACTCTGTCTCTGTCTCTCACCCCACCCCCACACCTCTGGCCTGTACCCCAGTTCTTGTATGCATAAATAAATAAATCTTTTAAAAAAAAAAAGTGAGAGAGATGGAAAGCAGCAGGCAAAACAGGGCTACTGGGTCTTCCTGGTGGCCTAGGGGCTAAGTCTCAGCGCTACCACAGCGAAGGCCTACTGTGTCAGCCTGAATTCAATCCCCAGACAGGCTGGTGACCCACATGACGCAGCAGACCTCTCCTGTCTAGCCCACTGCTCCCCTCAGCAGTGTATTTCAGTACTGAAATACAATCTGCCTGTTCTGTTCCCCACTGTGTCTCTGGTGAATCCTTGTACCCTCTGCACCTCTGGCCTACACCCCAGTTCTTCTACAGAAAATAAAAATCTTGGGCCTCCCCGGTGGCACAGTGGTTGAGCGCTGGGTTGTGAAGCTGCTCACAGCCTCTGCAGCGCCGGTTCGATCCCCGGCTGCTCCCCGGCCACTGGAGGAGGGTCCCGCATGGCGCGCAGACCTCTCCTGCCGCCCGCTGCTCCCCTCAGCAGTGTACTTCGGTACTTCTGCCTGCTCTGCTTCCCGCTCTGGCTCTGGTGAATTCTCTCACCCTCCCGCGCCTCTGACTGTACCCAGTGCTTGTATAAATAAAATAAATAAATAAATAAATAAAAATAAATCTTTAAAAAAAAAAAAAAAAAATCTTACAGGCCTCCCCTGGTGGCGCAGGTGGTTGAGCGCAGCACTGTGCAGCTGTCCACAGCCTCTGTAGCGCGGGTTCGATCCCGGCTGGCTGGCGAGGATCCCACATGGCGCAGCAGACCTCTCCTGTCTCGCCCACTGCTCCCCTCAGCTGAGTATTTCAGTCAGTCTGCTTGTTCTGTTCCCCGCTCTGTCTCTGGTGAATCCTTTCACCCTCCCGTGTATCTGGCCTGTACCCCGGTTCTTGTATGCATGAATAAATAAATCTTTAAAAAAATAAAAATAAAAATAAAAATCTTATAATAAAGGGATCATTCTTAACAAACAAAAAACAGGACTGATGGGCACAGCAAACCTAAAGCTGAAGAGCTGACTCATGGGAATACCAGTGCGCTCTGCATTTTCATGGTCTCTGAGAAAAGGAAAGCAGTGGGGAACACACCACAGCGCAATGTGGGCTGCTGGCAAAACAGCCCCAAGACGCAGATGGCAACCCAGACTAGCCCAAATGCGGCAGGGACAAGGACTGTGTCGCTGCTCCAGCCAGGAGGGAAGGGGGCCAGCTCCTCTGCAGAGGACAAACAGCGGTGCTAGATTCATAAGCCAGAAGCCTGCACCTAGGTGGACAGGAGGAACAGGCCCCCCACTTCACATCCACACCCAGGCAAACCAAGGCCCCCTGAAGCTCCAAACCAGTCCTATGCAGGCTGAGCTGGGCCTTTCACAGACCCTGCTGGTGGGCTTAACCATCTCCATCTGCAGAGTGGCACAGGCTCACAGCAGGCATCGACCCCTGCTGCTGGTCGAGCGCCTGGCCTGTTAGTACCAAGGCGAGCCAGATTGATCCACCCCTCCTGCTCCCCCAGAGGCGCGCCTCTCCAATTACTTTGTCCATGCGTAGTGTGCAGAATGCTGATGGACTCATTGTCTGCGGTCTAGCCCAGACTTCCTGACAGGCCCCCTCCCCCCATCTTTGAAGAACTAGGAGACACCAGGCTAGGTGAGTGCCCCAAGCCAATGTGGCTCAAGCCATCTGGACCTAAAAGCCAAGCTGTGCTAGTGGCACGCAGCCTAACCCTCACACACTGAGGAGCTGGCAAAGGAAGTGAGGCAGTCCAGACACAGGCAGGCAGTCCCTACAGGGCTCCCTGACAGCAGGGCAGGGACTCAGGAGGCCCTGCAGAACAGGAGCACTGGAAAGTCCAGCTGAGATTTCCAACAGAGCTCAAAAAATGAAAACCAAGGCTCACGCCCAGGCCATGCTTGCAGCCAAGTCCTATGCAGTATCTCCTAAGAAAGTTCAACACCTGGAGACCCGGCCACCTGTTTCCCTAATGTGCCAGGGTCTCTGGAGCCACCTGAATGTGTCTGTGACTACGAGAGACTGGCCTGAGAGCAATGTGGCATGAGAAAAAGAAAAGTGACTAAAGCCACATCCTTTGGTTCCCCTGCTCTAACTGCCAGTTCCGGGGAAGGACACTCGGGTCTCAGTCGGCTGACAGAAGGGACGGGAACCTCCCTGGTGCCCTAGGGGTTAAGTATCAGGACTATCACCACTATGGCCTGAGTTCAATCCCCAGCCAGGGAGCTAACACACATATGGCGCAGCAGATCTCTCCTGTGTTGGTACTGCTCCCCTCAGCAGTATATTTCAGTAGGTCTGTCTGTTTTTTTTTTTCTTTTTAGATTTATTTATGTATGTGTACATAAATAAATGTAGGCAAGAGGTGTGGGGGGGGGGCGGTGAGAGGATTCACCAGAGACAGAGCGGGGAGCAGAACAGGCAGACTGACTAAAATACACTGCTGAGGGGAGCAGTGGGTGAATCAGGAGAGGTCTGCTGCACCATGTGGGTTGCTCCCTGGCCAGGGATCGAACTCGTGCTGCAGTGGCTGCAGATTGCTTCATAGTGCTGACGCTTAACCCCTTGTGCCACCAGGGAGCCCCACCCCCCTCCCTTGCCATTCCTAATGTCTGAAGAGCAGAGACGCCAACAGTGAGTAAGGAAGGGACCTCTCCTGGAAGCACTTCCTTACCAACCTCACCCTCCTCACCTTCTTCTTCTGTGGGACCAAAGACACACCCCTCAGCAGCGGAGTCCACTCTCCCTTCAGAGGGAGACACCAATTGAAAGACAACCTCCCACTGCACCTCCCTCCTCCTCAGTACCTTTCACTTGCTCTAATGTCACAAGGGCCTAGCAAGAAAAGTGTCCAGACCACCACCAGCGGTGTCACCTTGAGCCCAAGGGCTAAGGGAACCATGGCTGGAGCCAGCTCTCCAGCCTGTAGGAGAAAGCTGCTTCTTGGGCCTCTCCTGGTGGCGCAGCGGTTGAGCGCTGGGCTGCGATCCCCTCTGCAGCGCCGGTTCGATCCCCGGCTGCTGGGCAAGGGTCCCACATGGTACACAGACCTCTTCTGCTGCCCGCTGCTCCCCTCAGTAGTGTACTTCATCAGTCTGCCTGCTCTGCTCTCCCCACTGGCTCTTGGTGAATCCTCTCACCCTCTCTGCGTTTCTGACTGTACCCAGTGCTTGTATAAATAAATAAATAAATCTTTAAAAAAAAAAAAAAGAAAGCTGCTTCTTTCCAGCAGCAAACCCAGCAACAGGACCTGCCCTAGACTCCCTCTGGTGGCAGGTCTGACCGGTCTCCCGCAGGGGAAAAGGCACAGTGTCTCTTCTGAAGGGCACCTGGGTGACAGACTCAAGTGTCTGTCCTCATTTGGCTGCATGTGAGGAACAGAAGAGCATCTAAGATCTGAATTAATCTGACCCCTTGACCTCTCCGGGTTCTTTTCCAGTCTGTGATGACTCTGGGGAAGGTTCTCTGGCAGAGAAGGGAGCTCCACCAAAGAGTGGTTAAGGACAGGAAGGAGGAAAGAAGTCTGGGCGCTGCGTCCATGACTCAATTCTTCCCTTAGCTTTGTCTTGAGATGTTCTTTCAGGCCCAACTTTCCCACCCTTGGAGGCCTCCTTCCTGCACTTACAGGCCTGAATGGGAGCAAAGGAAAGGGCACAGAGAGAATTCTAGGAAACAAAGCAAAGCTATTAGTATGACAAGAACAGCACACGGGATGTTGTTGCTGAGGTGACCTGGTGAGAGGCGACCTGGCCCAGTCACCCTCATCGGGCCCTGCCTCGCCGGGCCAGTCCTGCCCTTGCAGCGTCACCCTTCTCCTCTGTGCTCACAGGAAAAGTGTTTTGAACCACCCAGCAGACTCAGCCTCGGACAGTGGAGCCGCCTCCCCTCCTCTGGTCAAGACACTCACCATCCTGGTGCCAGGGCTTCCAGACCAGACAGAGGCCACCACCCTGGGACCCGGCAGGGGGTGGGCGGGGGCTGAGCAGCAGAAAAGAGAAGGACGTTGGGGAAGAGAGCCTGAAGAGAGAAAAAGAAGGAAGACAATGGAGTTTTAAAAAGAGGCAGAGAATGAAGATAAAACTGAGAACAGGCATGATAACCCGAAGGTTAGGAAAGCCGTGTATGAATAACAATGCAAGACTGCAACCCCATCTGTGCCTGCCCCGCAGCCACAAAATGAAGGACAGGGCCGGGGTTGGGGGTAAGGCACCACCCAGGAATCAGGAAGGATGCTGAGTGCTTGCTGTGCAAACAGGGATGCTGGCATGTCCTGCTTTTAACAATGTCCTGGGGCAGGGGCCTCCCCGGTGGCGCAGCGGGTTGAGCGCTGCTCTGTGAAGCTGTCCGCAGCCTCTGCAGTGCAGGTTCGATTCCCGGCCCGCCAGGGAGAGTCCCACATGGCGTGGCAGACCTCTCCTGCCTCGCCCGCTGCTCCCCTCAGCAGTGTCTTCGGTCCATCTCCCTGTTCTGCTCCCTGCTCTATCTCTGGTGAATTCTATCACCCCCCACACACACACACTTCTGGTCTGTACCCCAGTTCTTGTATAAATAAATCTTTAAAAAAAAAAAAAAAAAGAAAGAAAAAAAAAAAACAATGTCCTGGGGCAGCCCTGGAAGGCTCTGGATTTAGAAGCCTGCTGCGTGTGGTTTCTCCCAGCTCCGCTGCCGATATTAGTTGGATTCCAGGGCCCAGTTTGGCTTTTTTAAAAACGTCCTTCCATTCTAACCGAAAGAGTCAGGAGCCCTGGTGGCTGTGAGCATGTCGCCCACACTGTGGCCTCGTCCTCAGAGGTCGGTGCCGCGGGGTACACAGGACTTGGCGCAGGCACCTGTCAACACGGGATGGCAGGATGAGTAGAGAGGCAAAGGCGATGACACCCTCTGCTCCCAGCAGTCCAGCCACACTGGACACCACACTTGCACAGGGAGAGGGAGACGCCGAGGCCCGCAGGCACAGAGGAGAAGCGGGGGCGCGGCAAGGACAGAACTGGCTGTGCTCTGGGAAGGAGAGCCTGGAGAGGCAGGGTCAGAGGAGGGTGACTGGTCCCCTGTCACCAGGTCCCCTCTCACCGTCCCATCCACCTGAGTGGAGAGACGCGTCCCCTCACTGGCAGTGGGAGGGGATGGGCGTGGGAGGCCAGCAGCAGATTTAAAGGAATGTGCGCGAGAGACAACGCTCCCAGGCTCCCAGAGGACGTGAGGAAGCAACAGGCCCAGTGAGAAGGCAATGCTACCCAGCTGGAGACAATGCAAAGAGCAAGAGTGGGGGGAGTGGGGGTGGACAAGGGTGCACCAGTAACCACTCAGCACACAAGCCAGATTCACCCCTTTGTTGGAGAGGCCTGAGAAGGGCTGGGCGTGGGAGACAGCAGTGACCAAAGAGGCTCTAAGCCCGGGTTAGGGAGTGCTGAGGGTGGTCAGGGCAAGGAGCTTGCATAGGAATGGCAGCTCAGCAATGTGGGGAGCCGTGAGCATCTGTTTCTGCCACCACAGGAAGGCACTGCTCTCTGGGGAGTGTGTAACCAGGGCAGCCGCACTGGAGGGCAGGACTCTGGGAGCAAAGTGGCAGCACGGAGGTGGCACGTGAAGGGGCGGCTATCCCTCTCCATTCAGAACCCAATGAGAGTGGCCCCCTGCCCTTCTCTAGGAAGTTCTAACCCGGAGGAGGTCAGCAGCACCCAGGACCAAAGAGTATCTCCTGTCCAACCCCCTGGACCACACCGCCACACCACCTCCTAACAGCCAGTCAGGGATCCCACTACAGTGTCTGTTCCCACAGTGCAGGAGGGAGAATCACCTGGTTAACATCTACTGTATAGCAGGAATTTTGGTGAGGCAGGAATGGCCCTTCCAGAGCAATCCTTCCTGGACAGGTTGGGGGCATCTGCTTGTCCTCATGGGTCCTGGCACAGAGCCCCACACCATCATCCAGCATCTGACAGCCAAAGGCACCTCAGGCAGGCCAGGAGGAAGGGTTAGGGATGACTCACAGCAAAGGATTCTAAATCAGTGTGTGTTTTCTTGTGCTGTCAGCTGTTGGGGCAGACAAAGAAAAGCCATCCGCGGCTCTGGGGGCAGAGGCCGCGAGAGAAGAGTGGTGCGGTGCGGGCCATCAGATTCCAGCCACACGGGAGATGGGGAAGGAGCAATCAAAAGCATCCAGCAGACTCCATGCACAAGTTGGGAAGCTTGCCACCTGCCTTCCACTCTGTGCCTGACACCCCAGCAGTTTCCAGCCCCCAGGCAGTCGCCCCATGACTCCTGGCCTTTCAGGGGCTTTCTCAGCGGCTCCGTCAGAGGATATGAAGCAGGCTGCGTAACCAGCTCCCACAGCACTGACGCCCTTCCCCTGGAGAGCACCAGGACATGCCACCTCCTCTGCCTCGTTTTATCTTCACTACCCTAGGGCAAAACGGCAAGTGTGAGAGGTACTTTAAGAATTGGGGGTGGGCCTCCCTGGTGCACAGGCATTAAAGACAGTGCTATCAAGCTACAGCATGAGTTTGATCCCCCAGGAACTAACCCACATGGCGCAGCAGACCTCTCCTGTCTCGCCCGCTGCTCCCCTCAGCAGTGTATTTCAGTACATCTGCCTGTTCTGCTCCCCACTCTCTCTTGTGACCCTCTTATTCCACACCCTGCACCTCTGTTTTACACCCCAGTTCTTGTATGCATAAATAAATACATCTTAAAAAAAAAAGAAATTGGGGAGCAGTGACATGGGAATGTAAATGCCAGCTCTGGCTCTGGGGACTCTGCAGGGCTTTTGGAAATACAAAAGGGTCCAACTCACTAGTCTGGGGTGAGGCCACAGGCCCCGAGTGAATGGTTGCTCAGCCCACAGTCCAGAGTCCCAGGCCTGGCAAGCCGTCTCCCATGAACACAATCCCCTAGTTAGCGGCAGATGGACCCTAAATAGACTTCCTCTCCGCCAGGATTCTGTCCCCTGCCCGGCAGCATCAGTCTCCTGAACAGTGAATGCTCTGTGACAACCTTTTCCCAAGCCCACCTGTTCCTGGTGCAGTCACCTGGACTCGCCCACAGCTCAGAGACTGCCCAAGCAGAGGAGGGTGACAATTAAAGGTTGCTAAACGCGGCAGACACAGAGCTGCTGATGGCATCATTCTGCCATCAATCCTACAAGAGCCTCTTCATCCATCCTGCTGCTAGGAATAGAACTCTTGACAAAAGCAGTGACATTAGGCCAGCAACATCACATTTCATGTCAAATGAATCACAGCATCTCCCAGCTAGTGGGACCCTAACAGTCCCCGAGTACGGGTCTGCAGATGGTGACTCACCCTCTGAGTCACTCCTTTCGAAAGAAAGCTCCAGCCCTCCTGGGGCCTCCCTTGGCAGGAAGCTCCCTCTCAAGGTGGCTCTTTGTGTCTTCAAACTGCTCTCCCACTCACAGAGGCTGTCCTCACAGCTGGCCAAATGGATTCCCTCATCGCTTCCAACGTGACCCTAGCGTGGCCTTTTCCATTCTGGTACTTCTGGCCACTGAGCAAAAATTCAGGTTTCATCTCCCAAAATCATCTGGCACGGCCTTCTCCTCCCAGCATCCCCTTTTCTGCCAAGATTCCTATACTTGCTAATAAGTAGATCTGACCAGCAGCCTCATAAGTGCATCTCTAGTGGGCTAGCCACTTCCTTGGGTCCTACATCAAGAAGAAAGCACTCCCGACCAGCAGGGGCAGCCAGCCTGCCTGGCAGCAGTCACCTTTGGGCATTTCTCAGGGTATCACCAGCAACTGCTGGGGCACCCTCAGAGAAAGCACTGAGAGCACAGATATTGACATAAATGCTGGCCTCAAGGATCTTATCATCTGCGGAAGAAAAAATGCCCACAGACACCAGTCCGAGAAAACTGAAACAGAGACTCCAGCAACATGCTGAGGCGTGTGTGTCAGGGAAGCAGACTGTGCGGACGGAAGAGCCAAGAACTCTGAAGCCAAGATGGCCTGATTCAAACCCCAGGCCTGTCACCCTCCAGCTGTGCGACCAGGGACAAGCTACTTAACCTTACTAGCCCCGGTCTCCTCATCTGTAAAGTGGGGATATGACTCCCACCTGGCAGGAATGTTGTGGAGGTTACACAGGTTGGGTGTAGAACCCTCAGCCCGTCCCTGGCACTCAGCAGGCACTATGCAACAGCAAAGAACAGCATTATTCCTAAAGGACGCGATCTCTGAACGGGACTTTTTACAGCTGATCAGAATGTTAAGGCTGACCATGGCAGCGGAGGGAAAGCCCGAGCGAAAGCTTAGTGAGGAGGTGACCAGAGCAACTGCCTCGGGCCCACAGTGCGTGAGGAATGGGATGCAGTGCGAAGCCAGAGCTGGGGACTAGAGTATCTGGAGTATCAGGGTGCTGCAGGAGGGCCCACTTGCTGTGCTTCCCTCCACCACTGGGTCCCAGCTGGGGCTGCGGGGCCCTACATGTCCTCCAGGCGAGAGCGAAGCCTGCGAGCCTCTCCTCATCTGTTCTGAACAGCAGGCGCTCCTTTAACACCGCCACAGGGGCTCTGCCCCACACTCCTTATCTTCTTATATTATGGCTCACACACACCATTTGAAGTCTATTCTCTAGAAGCCCTACAGATGATTGGGGCTGCCCCAAACATCCCCAGGAGGCCAGGCTCCCCCGTCTCAGGCTGCAATTCCTCCCGCTGTGCCCACTTAGTATCCCTACACTATCAAGAACCTAGGAGACTCTCTCCCACCTATTATTTGGAATCCATTAAGTAGCCTCCTGTCCTACAAAGCTCCCCAAAACAAACACCAGAGGGTCTCCCCAGTGGCGCAAGGGGTTAAGTTTCAGCACTACGGAGGCCACCCGGGTGTCACAAGGGGTTAAGACGCAGCACCATGAAGCTATCCGCAGCCATTGCAGCACAAGTTCAAGAACGAGTTCAGCAGAGGAGGTGACCCACATGGTGCAGCAGACCTCTCCTGTCTCACCCACTGCTCCCCTCAGCAGTGTATTTCAGTCAATCTGACTGTTCTGTTCCCCACTCTGTGTCTGGTGAATCTTCTCACCCCCCACACCTCTGACCTGCACCCCATCTCTTGTTTGCATAAATAAATAAAATAAATCTTTAAACAAAAAAAACACTAGGCCTGACCCCAGTCCCATCAATGTCTGCTGCACTACTCCCAAGCAATCTCCTGTTCATCTGGAGGACAGTCAGCTACACCCCCTTCTCTGAACCTCCTTCTCAAAGTTCACCTCCTGCAGGAAATTCTCTATTCCAGCTTGCAGAAACCAGTCTGGCAGGGTGCTGCCAGGGGGCATAAGCATATTGGCCGGGGCCTGGAGAAGGGGACATCATTACCAGAGGGTAGATGCAGGAAATGTGCCACGGGACTCACTGTCAGGTGAGGAATGCACACCTCAAACCTTGCGGAAGGAATTTCTGCACACAGTGGTGGAATCTGTTCTCAGTTAGCCAAACTCCTGGTAACAGACAGGAGCTCTCAGGCCTGGCCAGGGATCTGATTCTGGAACTGGAAACTGTTACTCCTAGTTTCAGATGAAGGCTAGTGGAGCCAAAGGCTGGAGAGTGGACTTTCACCACTGAGAGTCCCAGATCCGTGCCTGGTGACTCCAGCAAAGCAGCAGGCAGCATCTCAGGACCCAGTCTTGTGGCTACATCAGGAACAGGAAGCCTGAGTCCATTTCCACCCCATTCATTTGTCATCCTCCAGCCACAGATAATCAATAGCCAGTTAATTAAGACTCTGCAAGCTCCAATGAGATAAACTGCCTGATCAACAATTGCCAGAATCAGGAACTCTTGGGTGAATCTATGGACTTCTGGAAAGGCTTTCCTTTGTCAGCACTTTTTGGGAAACCCCCACCCTCCTGTAGCTAAGCATGCTATTCCTTTTGCCAGCTGGACTCTCAACAGCCTGTCACCCCACAGAGCTTCTGGGGCTGAAGCTCCCAGAACACAGCAAGTCAGGCAAAGCCTCGGCGTAACACTGCCTTTGGTAGATTCTGGGTCTTCTGAACACGTGGATTCTGAAGACACCCAGCCCAGAGGATGAGCAGGACGTGACTATGACTGACCCACCAACGTCAGGGCGTCCTGGACAGTCAGCTTTTGTTTTGATGAATCCATTTAGAGCAAGAAAACATGAGAAACTTCAGGACAAGCAGGAGCACGTCCCAGTTTCTCCTTCACCTAATGCTGACGAGAGAGCTAGCCTGAAGCAGAAGGCTTCTCTCCCTTCCTCATACCACCCTTGAGACACATGACCTGGGGATCCACTAAGGAGTGCCAGCCCCCATTCACACAGAAAGGAAGACCTGGACTGATCTCAGACTGTGTCTAGAAGCTGACAGGGAGTGACGGAGCCCAGCAGCACCTTGAGCGCTAAAGGCAAGTTGGTGTGAGGCTTGTGGGTAACTCCTGGGCCAGCTGACTGGGGCTAGAGAGGGCCCCAAGTGCCTGGGAGAAAATCTGGGCCACACAGGGAACAGGTCCCAGACCTCCCTCACCTCCATGTAGTTTGTTCAGGAGACAAGGACAGTGCCTTGGCAGGCCCAGGTCTGAGGGGAATGCTGGGGAGCAGCCCTTGGGTGCACTTAGGGAAATGGTCTTATCAGAATCCTGTGGCCAGCAAAGCTCCACTCCACTCCCCTCCCACATAACACGTCACACATTCTTTTCTTCACAGGCTGCCCAGCACAGTGAAGCTCTAGCATGCAGCACTCGCTGCCTCCCCCAGTCAGCCTCCTCACCTATCCCAGGAGCATCCTGCCGAAGGACCAAGCAGCTCTTTTTCTGCACCTTCCTTCATTCAGCTCCCAGCAGTGCTAAAACCTCACCGATTTTTTCAGGCATCAGGCCTACCAGTGGATCCAAGGACATTGTCGGTTGAATCTGGCCAGCAGGTTAGTGGTTAGTGTTTACTGGCACACAAGGTACTGCACAAATACGTGAATTAGATTGCAGGTTTTCTGGCTTGTCTTGCTATAACTAGGTCTGGGTGCAAGGGGGCGTCACTATTGAATGGCAAGACCGCGCTGAGATGAGGAACGGCTGCTCCTTTAGACAGGGCCTGGTCACAGAACAGATGCTGTGGGGGCCCTGCCCCACGTCCACTCAGCCACCGGAGCTCACCTGCCGCCGTGGTGCTCCGGGGCATGTGCCCACGACCAGTGCCTGCACCGCTCTGCTTCTCTGACTGAGGACTTTCTCCAGCGCTAGCTGGCATTCAGGACAGCCCGGAAGTGCCAGGGATTTAACGCCCCCAAAGAAATTCCTGACTCACACAGGAGTCAGCAGATTCAAAACCACCCACGTCCCTGTCCCTCAATGGTGTGATTCTGAGGCACACTCCACACGGTTATTCACTGAGCCCCCAGAGAGGCTGAGTTCCAGTGACCCACAGTGGCAGCCCACTCCCTCACTTGCCCTTTACTGGCTTTCTCCCTTTCTGCCTCACTCTCCCCGCCCTTCACTTGTGCTTACTGGAATCACGACCCAAATAAACTACCTCCTTGCGGGCCTCCCCGGTGGCGCAGCGGTTGAACGCTGGGTTGCGAAGCTGCCCGCAGCCTCGGCAGCGCCGGTTCGATCCCCGGCTGCTCCCGGGCCACCGGAGGAGGGTCCCACATGGTGCGCAGACCTCTCCTGCCGCCCGCTGCTCCCCTCAGCAGTGTACTTCGGTCCTTCTGCCTGCTCTGCTCCCCGCTCTGGCTCTGGTGAATTCTCTCACCCTCCCGTGCTTCTGACTGTACCCAGTGCATGTATAAATAATAAATAAATCTTTAAAAAAATAATAAAATAAAATAAGCTACCTCCTCGCGAGTCCTTGTCTCAGGGCTCATTTTTAGGGGACAAGGGAGAGCCGCCCTACTGATCTAACTTCATCATTCTTCCATTACCTGTCTGACCCCCACAAACATGGCCCTCATGGCACATCCCCCTGATCGAGAGCGAGGGCATTCACCCCCACATACACGCCCACACTCCCTGGACGGGACAGACTCACCTCCCCCGAGTAACTGTACTTGCCCCTGAGGATCTGCCGGTACAGCCGGGTACGGTTGTCGTCCTCGAAGGGCATGGTGCCACTGAGCAGGATGTAGGCAATGACGCCCAGCGCCCACATATCGACTGAGTTGGTGTAGGGCTTGCGGACCAGCACCTCGGGGGCGATGTACTCGGGCGTGCCACAGGTGGTCTTCATCAGGCAGTCGTCACCCTTCTTGCGGGCACTGGCCAAGCCGAAGTCAGTGATAATGATCTTGGAGTCAGTGCCTGGGTGGTAGTAGAGGAGATTCTCAGGCTTGAGGTCTCGGTGTGTGATGCCCAGTGCGTGCAGATACCGGACGCCGTCCAGCACCATCTGCAGCACCCGCGTGGCATCACGCTCAGTGAAAGAACCCTTGGCGATGATGCGGTCGAAGAGCTCTCCACCAGTGGCCAGCTCCATCACCATGTACACGCGCTCCTGTGTCTCAAACACCTCCACCAACTGGATAATGTTGGCGTGGCGAACCCGGCGCAGCACACGCAGCTCGGACTCACACACCTCCCGTCCCTCCCGGTACTTGGTCTCGATCATCTTGATGGCATATGGCTGCCGGGTTGCCCGGTGCTCCACGCGGACCACTCTGCTGAAACTGCCTCGGCCAATCAGGGCTTTGATGTCATACTTGGCTGTCACACGGGGGTCGAACTTGGCCCTGTACTTAGCCACCCTGGCCCTGCGTGGTGGTTCTGAAGGAGGCTCTGTGTGGCCGGTAGTGGGGGGACCAGGACAGGGGGTTGCAAACTGACTGGCAGCTGGGAACCCCGCCTTGAGAGGGCCAACACTGTCCACCTCCGTGATGAAGTGCTTGTACACATCACTCTTTGTGCCACTGAAGGGTTCCACCTTCTTGACCAGATCCAGCTGGACATCCTTGGGCGGCTCAGGAAGGACCTTGCTTGTCCCACAGCCCATCACGGACACGGGGGCATCCTCTCTGGCGAGGCTGGCAGGACCTGCTCTGCAGGCAGTGCCCCGTCTACACCTGTGAGAGAGATGAGGGGCAAATCAGCACACGTCCTCTGAGGAGACACCAGTCATCCTCTCACCCACTCTCCCCGGCCCCTCAGTACTGCCAGCCCGAGGAAGACGGCAGACCTGATACGGATGTGGGTCCCAGGCAAGGAGGACGGCTCTGGCTTCCGAACGCTGGGTGCCCAGGCTCAGTGGAGGGTCCAGCCGAAAGACCGGAGCTGAGCTCCATGGTCGTGGCTGACATCTTTCAGGGTCTGATTCTTTCACTGCTCCTCAACCTCGAGAGAGGGCCAGGAACAGGCGCCAGGCTCAGCTATCACTGCCCCCACCCTCCTCCGTACCCTGCCTGGGTCCCTTATCCTAATTGAAGTCCTGTTTTTTATATGTTAAAATCATTCCTCTGACTCATCTTTTCTGAAACGGGGGTGTGAGTGCTGGAGGTCTGCTCTCCAACACTATCTTCCACCAAGGCTCAGAAAGCCACTTCTCCAAAGCCTTCCTCACTGATCTCTCTCCTGGTCCCCTCCACCTCCTACAGGGGGTGATCTCCTCTCACCCTGACCTTCCCAGCAACAAACCCAACCCCCTGCCTGGGTCTTTGCCCTACCTTTGCTCTTTCCTGGCTAACTCCCACGATTTTGCTAATGCACCTTCTTCACTCTCCCGGTGTAACACCCTGTTCCAGGGCCTCCCACTTTCCCAGCTCAACAAACGATGGCTAAAAAGGCCACAACAAGTCCTAGGGCTGGTTGAAACCAACCTCAGTAAACTTGGGAGCACAAGCCTTAACACACCACCAGCAGAGAGTCTCCAGACTAGCCTGGGTGTCACTCACGAGGCAGAACGGGCCTTGAACTCAGGGAAGACATCGCTATCTTAGTTTCCTCCACTGTGACTCAGGCCATGGGCTGGGACGCTGCTTCTCTGGGATGAGGATGCAGGGGTCTTCCCATCTGCTTCCCAGAGATGCTCTACCTACTGATACCCTGTGACCAGTCAGCTCAGAGCTACAGCACTGCTTTACAGGGGTCCCTGCTACCCAGGCTGCTTTCCTCTAAGTCTTTCCTCTAAAAGGAAAGAGCTGGCAATTTCCTATTAATTATGACATACAAAGTTGGCAATAAATGATCAATTCAGATCAAACATTTGTCAGACATCTGCTAAGAACACAGAAATGACTAAGACAGGATCCCAATGTCAAAAAATTCAGAATATAGGGCCTCCCTGGTGGCGCAGTGGTTGAGCACTAGGCTGCAAAACTGCCTGCAATCTGTGCAGCGCTGGTTCGATCCCCAGCCGCTGGCGAAGGTCCCACATGGCGCGCAGACCTCTCCTGCCGCCCGCTGCTCCCCTCAGCAGTGTACTTCGGTCCTTCTGCCTGCTCTGCTCCCCGCTCTGGCTCTGGTGAATTCTCTCAATAAATAAATCATGGGCCTCCCCAGTGGCACGTTGGTTGAATGCTGGGTTGCGAAGCTGCCCGCAGCCTCTGCAGCACCAGTTCGATCCCCGGCTGCCAGGCGAGGGTCCCATATGGCGCGCAGACCCCTCCTGCCGCCCGCTGCTCCCCTCAGCAGTGTATTTCAATACATTAGTCTGCCTGTTCTGTTCCCCGCTCTGCCTCTGGTGAATTCTCTCACCCTCTCGTGCTTCTGACTGTACCCAGTGCTTGTATAAATAAATAAATCTTAAAAAAAATAAATCTTTAAAAAAATTCAAAATATAAATGAAGAGACAAGCATAAAACAGGTAACTTCAATCTAGCATGGTAAGGGTTGGGCTTGAGAGACAATAGTAGCTATATGGGGAATGATGCAGGGGCTAGAAAAAGCCTAGGGAGGTAACCCCCATGCTGAATTTGAAGTCAGAACGAGTCAGGTGAGAAAGGTGGCAATGGTGTTTCAGGCAGACAGAATAACACATTCAGGGGCCCAAAGGGCTAGAGTAGGAGCTGGTCCCTGGGGATGACTGTATGAAATGGAGACAGGGCTGGTGGGGACTGAAGTTTTGGTCAGGAGACAGGTTCTGGAAAGCAGCACATGTAAGGGGTTGGACCTTCCTGGGAGGTGAAAAGAAGCGATCAAAAGAAAAAGAGGTCGACAATCTGCTTAGAAAGAAATGTGAGGCTGAACTAGAGGAGCATCAAAGGGGACTGACTACAAGGGCCAGTGAGGAGGTGGCAGTCCACACAGGGGAATGGGATGGAAAGACAGCAGCAGGACAAGAACAGCAGGCTGGATACAAGAAGTGACAGGAGGAGTGAGTGCACCCCTCCAGTCCCTTGCCTGGACTCCCGAGCAAAAGGATCAGGAGCACAGCAGGAGGGACAGTTTAGGAAGCAGCAGGAATGTGTCATGTGCATGTGGAATGTCCTTGGGACATTTACTGCAGGGTACTAGTTGTAGAGCCTCACTGCATGTAGAATTTAATGTTTGAAAATGGCTGGTCAGGGTCAGCGATTCCATGGCTGCCCCATGGTGGTCCCAATGTCAAAAGTCCCTGGTCCCAGTCTCTGCAGCGCTGGTTCGATCCCCAGCCGCTGGCAAAGGTCCCAAATGGCGCGCAGACCTCTCCTGCTGTGCCCGCTGCTCCCCTCAGCAGTGCACTTCTGAGGGGCCAAGGGGCCACACCAACACCCCCGCTTACCCTTTTCTGAAGTCAGCAAATGAGTCCATCAAAGGCAGCAACAGGAGACTCAGGTAGGTTTGGGGGTGGGGGTTACAGAGAACCCACACAGGCTATTAGATTCCAGTGAGCTGAGCGCCTGAGTATGAGCTGGTGATGCTGACCAATATGGTCAATTTTTTCAAGAAAGCTTATAAGGGGCCTCCCCAGTGGCGCAGCAGTTGAGCACTGGGTTGCGAAGCTGCCTGCAGCCTCTGCAGCGCTGGTTCGATCCCCGGCTGCTCCCTGGCCACCAGAGGAGGGTCCCACATGGCGCGCAGACCTCTCCTGCCGCCCGCTGCTCCCCTCAGCAGTGTACTTCGGTCCTTCTGCCTGCTCTGCTCCCCTCTCTGGCTCTGGTGAATTCTCTCACCCTCCTGACTGTACCCAGTGCTTGTATAAATAAATAAATAAATAAATAAATAAATAAATAAATAAATAAATCTTTAAAAAAAAAAAAAAGAAAGCTTATAAGCAAAACATACCTCAGACTGTGATTACCAACGCATCAGATAAAAAGGGGGAATTTGGAGACCACAGGCTAAAGACTCAGGTATTAATCAGCATGTCAATATGACTCTCAGCAGAATGAAATTTATCTTTCCTCAAGAGAAGCAGACTCCACCACCAGTACAGGGCTCTTCAGGATTTGCTGTGTTTCCCACCCAACTGCCTCACAGCAGCTGAGGAAATAATGTTTAAACAAAGGCATTTAGAAACAAGGTTCCTCAAACAAGGAATCAGGAAAAATCAAAACAAAAACAAAACAAGCAGGCAAAAGATAAATCTGAGACATTCAGCAGGGGAGGGGGGGGGGCAGGGATTAGAACAGGGGAGGAAAGAGCACAAAAGACTGTGGTGATGGATCACAGGTGACTTGGTGGTAGGAATTCTATGGGGACTACACCTGAGAGGAGAAATCAAAGATTGTGCAAAAATGAACGACATATAAAATATATATTAAAAAAAGAAGAAGGGCCTCCCTGGTGGTGCAGGTGATTGAGCGCAGCACTGCGAAGCTGTCTGCAGCCTCTGCAGTACAGGTTCGATCCCAGCCGGCCAGGGAGAGTCCCACATGGCACGGCAGACCTCTCCTGTCTCGCCCACTGCTCCCCTCAGCAGTGTATTTCAGTCTGTCTGCCTGTTCTGCTCCCTGCTGGGTCTCTGGTGAATCTTCTCACCCTCCCGCACATCTGGGCTGCATCCCAGTTCTTGTAAGCATGAATAAATCAATCTTAAAAAAAAAAGAAGAAAAATAAGAAACAAGGTTCCTTTTCACAGAGGCCAAAGATTAGTGCTAAGGACTTTGGTATTGTGCAGTCATCACTTCCTTCAGAGTAAACAAAAGAAAGGGCTGCAGATCAGGAAAAGGATTCCTGAAGCAGGACACAGGTCCCTAATCCCCAAGACCACATGATAAGCTACATCTGCTGCCATATAGAGAGAAGACAGACTTGCAGGGGTGATGCAGCACCCGCTCAGGTGTCACTTCTTCCTGGAAAGGTGGCAGAACCCTAGAGCCACAAAATAAATGTCTCCAGACAAATACACTGACTCTCTTTATTTAAATGTGCATACCTAGTCTGGTCCTAATGAGAAAAATCAAGATTTATAAACAAAAAAACCTGACTTTTCACTATAAACAAAATCCGCACAGGGATCTCAAGTCAGCAGTAAGAGAGCCAAGAAACAGCCCTCTCTGACCTTCTCATTTCCTTCTTGGGACAGAGTTTCTTGCACATTTGTTCCAATTAGAAACTCTTCAAAGACAAGCAGCTGCTGGTACCCCGTCTGCAGATCAAGAGGAGAGGAGAGAGAGGCCAGCCAGGGTAGGTTGGAGGTAGAGATGGCTAATAGCTCTCAGGTGATAACAGCTGCTCCACTGCAATCACATCTGTTAAATTCTTTTTCCACATTGGTCAGGTGAAAAGGCAGACCTAGGGACAGGAGAGAGGGAACTGGCAAAACTTCTGGAAAGAAGGGCAGAGTGTGTTCTTGCCCCCAGTTCTCCTGTGACCCCAGCATGGTGACCGGGTAGGGGGTACTGGTGGGTGAGGGCTGCATGAGGAAAACCTCAGGAGGAGGCTCCCAGGAGGGTCATGCTACGCGGCTGTCACAAATCACCATCCCCTTGCACAACACCTCAATCCCAACACATCTTGCAGAAAACACTAAACTCTCTCAAGTCGGCCTCCATACCCTCAACCCCAGCACTCCTCAAAGCAGGCAAGTGTGTTAGAGTGAGAGCGGATATGAGCACTGGGCATTACTTCTCACTAAAACTACCAAAATGACAGACCAAGAATGGAAGAACCTAGTGCAAATCACTCAGACGGCGGTGGCAAAGAA